GAGGGGAAAATATGACCTTTTATATGTCTACTAGAGGTTTAGAAAATATTTAGTTATCATCTTTTACTCTAAGTATAACTTTGTCCTTCACATACATAACATCATAATTTTATAGAGGGCACTTTTCCTCGTCAGCTAGGATTTTATCAGTTATTTTATTGAATCATTTTTTTTCTCAGTGTTATTTTTTTCTGCCTTCAAATATTGGCCTGTCTAAATGCTTATATTTCTTGTCTATATAGCAGCATCAGTTTATGGTCTCAGATTATATCAAAGGGAATGTATTCAGCTTCTTTATTTAATTTTTGAGACCTTGTTTTATCTGATGTACTTGAACTATATTGGGGATTGGTTCAGATTAAATCCGGCTATCCCTCATTTTAAGTGAGATCTCTTTCCTGCATTGGTTAACATAATAAAGGTAGTCATTTCCCTCTCGTTTCACTTCATATGGTCTGTGTGTTTAAAATAGATCCTTCAACTCAGCTTTTCCCAGCTAGACTCTGCTTATCTCCAGAAGGCCAAGGGCAGATGGCAGCCTCTGTTTCTCAGTTTTACGTTTGGTCTCCCGTGCTGTATGACCATGCACGGATGGGTTCTTTAAACTTTCCGTGGTTAACTATCTTTATTTTTGTGAGGGCATGCCTATATGATAGAGAAATGTTTTTGAGGAGTAATTTACAAAGACTCTACGAATGTTGCCAGCAAGAATGTCATGACATCAAACAGCTTTGTAGTTTATATAAACTTGAAAAACAACAAACACGATAGTGATATCAGGCAACACATATCGAGCTGTTAGTATTTGGTAAGCCTTGTATATGGTGGTTTATTTCAGTTACATGATACGAGCTGGCAGACAGAGTTCCTTCTTATAAGCAAGTGGTTGAGGATGAAATAAAAGACCTTCCATGGCCTTGTCAGCACTATATTCCAGCCCACTGGTCCTCAAGCCTTTTTTTCACTGTGATCCACAGGACAGGAAATGGTCCTGTGTATGATGTTTTCACCCAGTTTTCCTCTCTTTGCACTGGCTATAACCCTTCCTTCCTTCCTTCCTCCCTCCCTCCCTCCCTCCCTCCCACACTGCTCGGCTTGTGGGATCTTAGCTCCCTGACCAGGGTTTGAACCCCGGCCCTCGGCAGTGAGAGCACGCAGTCCTAACCACTGGACTGCCAGGGAATTCCCTGCACTGGCTATAATTCTAATTCTTTCCTCTTCCTTAAGGACTTACGTCATAATCCAGTTAGCATCAATTAACTATACTTTATACAAAATTATAATATTAATATTAACCTTCAATTAGCAATATACATAAAATAATTTCAAATGTTTACTCCTTTTTTTTTTTTTTAACTAACAACTTACTTGGGACAAGCCTTCCCTCTGAGCTCAGCACACCTGTTTACATGTAATGCATCATCCTCGTGCAGGACCGCAATGCTCATTAAACCCATTATTTTATTAATCTTTGGCAGTGCAGATTTTTCCAGTAGTTTGTTGGACTCTGAAAGCCCTGTCTTTGTCTTGCAGGATGCAGGCTGGCTGGTAGGCGTGAAGGAATCAGACTGGCTTCAGTACAGAGACCTCGCCACGTACAAAGGCCTCTTTCCAGAGAACTTCACCCGGCGCCTGGATTAGGGCCAAAAGTATTGTAGAAAGAGCCTGATTACTGGGTTTTTAAACCTTTGTGAAAACCTGAAGAGTTCACTTTTGCTATGACACTCAGTGATTTGCAGACCAATGCCAGACAAAGTTTGGGAGGCTATGTCAATGAAGCATGTGTGCAAACAAATGTTTAGAGGAAAAAAAAACAAGTAAATTAAGGAAAAAGTCTTCACTGGTTCCCACGTTCTTGCTAACAGGTTTGTCTGTGCTTTGTCCAAGCTGTGGAGACTTGTATACTCGACCCCCTCCCACCAGTTCTAAAGTAGCTTTCTCCAGACCAGAACCTTAATTTCTCTGCACCAAGTGTATGGTATTGAGTGGCTTCCCTGCAGAAGACGTGATGAATTGTCCTGTAATACGAGATTATCTATTCCCCTGTGCAGGTGTGAGCACGTGCTCTCTCTCTCTCTCCCTTTCACATTTACTGTGTTTAAAACGAAACTGCTGCAAAAGTTGTCACTGTTCTTTACCAGCACCTCTCTCTATATATATATATATGGACACAGAGTCACACGAGCTATTTCTCATCACTCCTGGATCTATGTGTATGCACAAGGCTACATATACATAGTTGCGCTCTCTCCTTCCCATTGTAGCTTTTAGCCTCTTATGTGTCATTGATACATGCGTTGCTCTCATTCCGTCTGGAATCACAGTTGCAGTTTTGCCTCTGGGCAAAACCAGCCATCCCATTGCCAAAACGGTGGACAGTATCTGTGTTCGGAATGTGCATTCTTCAGGATGCGATGACTAACGGCACGTCGGAGCTGCTGCCCCTTTGGAGAAAGCAGAGTCTGATGATCTGGATGTCCAGCCACTAGGACTGGAGGTGGGCGAGTAGGGATTAGCAGCTAAATTGTCTTAATTTCTGCCTTTCTGAGACTGGCTGGCTGATGATCGGGGCATTTCAATCCACCCCCAAAGAACACTATTTCAAAAAGCTCCTATATATTTCCACCTCTTTTTATTGATGCAACTCATCTTCACAGATCGTCCGAAAATAAGATATAGATGATGTATGCTGTATCCACAAGTCATCTGTAACGAGTCTGTTTTCAGTGCTGTGTCATTCCAAATAAACCTTGGGTAATCTCCAGCAGTGACCTTGACTCCTTCCGATGAGTCATTTGTTATGGAAAGCTTGTCTCATTCGGGTACACTGCTTGAAACAGTCCATGTTGGAGTTGTTATTTGTGCAGAAATACGCTTGTTCCTCCGGGTTGTGCTTCACAGCCCGCCTCCCTTCCGCAGACCCCTGCATCCCAGTCATCGCTGGTCACTCGGTGGTCCCTGCTGCCTAGCAATCACTACAGCACAAATAACAGCTTTCAGTGGAGGCCCCTCCGAGGTGCCGGCTGTCGCTGCCCTAGTCTGTGTATCACAGAAATCTGACGACGTCCGTAATCAGCAGTTTCTTCTCACACCAGCCTCATTTTTTTGGGTTACTTTTCTTTCTGACATGTTTATGTTTGGAGGTACATACAAAAAAATAGATGAGATGACATAGAAGAGTCAATTCACTGGACCATTGTTTATAGAGGAGAATTCTTAAAACCCTTTCAGTTGATTTAGACTCTTTCCTGCTAGTATAATTGTACTCAGTATAAACTGACCTAGAATGGGTGTTATTAGAATTTTAAATTTGGTACGTATTCGTGATTCATGATTTCATTTCTCCTGGTGGATTACTCACTTGGACGCTTAGTGGGTGGCTAAGTGTTGATAGAGAAACAGCTATTATCGACCCAAGATTTTTCCAGGGGCTGATTTCCAGGGAAACTGGATCCTCATGAAAGGCCTTGACCCAGGAAGCCCTATCCTAGCCTCCCCTTCATCTTTTAAGATTTCTCTTACAAATCTAGTAGGACTCAGACCTTCAGATAGATCAGAGGACCTTCACAAAGTCAGATACGGAAGCCTATGGTTCTCATAAACATACACCTACTTGGCATTCCTGCCAATTCCACATATAGACTGAGTGACGTATATAGTTGCAGGGCAAAGTCCTCAGACAATTTGGATTTTTAATATCTCAGTGCCACCTGGGATGGAAAAGTTCCATGCACCATGCTGTCACACTGCTTCCACCTGGGCCAGCTCTTTCTGACCAAGCCAGGACAGCTTCTGAGAGAGCCAGAACACCACGTGCATGGGCTTCCATGGAAAGAGTATGCAGGTTCAGAATTCTGAGCCCTCTCATTACCTAAAAAAGTCCAAACTCAATCTACTAGAAAAACCCAGCATGGCCCCATGGTCCATTCTGATGGCCCATTCAAGAAAAAACCTTTGGGAAACTGCAGGAGTTTTAAGAAATCAATGCGTTTAAAGATGCCTGAGACTCAGTGCTTTATTTCACACAAAATGCATGAACACCTCAAAGCCTGAGAAATAACTCATTTGCCTTGCTAGGACTCTCCTGCTTTTTTCAAAGGAACCCAAGCTGCCTTCGGGTTTTTACTTGGAACCCAACTAAAGACTTTAGGAACGCTGTGTACCAGACCCCGGACATGTGCTGGTCACACAGTTTTCTTGGGTGGTGATGTAGCTACTGTCTTCCCAGCATGATATATGATAGCATCCAAGTCCTAGGACTTGGAGTAATGGCATCAGACATTGGTAGCTGCATGGAGGAGATGTTGACCAGTATTGTCTTCGCAAACTTAGAGATCTGAGAGCCGTGTGCTTCTACTCATCCTCGACTCCACAGCAGGACCACGACTAGACAAACCTTAGCTGTTCAGGGCAGCCTTCCTCGAGGTATAGAGCGTGGGTTTGGTACTTTTTCATAATAACCAATAAAATATGCTAAAATAAGCTTAATAGCCTATCCAAATATTGGGTGGGTCAGAAAGTTCGTTTTACGGAAAACCCGAGTGAACTTTTCAGCCAACCCAAGAGTTAGTGCCTCATTGGCTATCCTTTGTTATGATTGCTTACTGGGAACACATACTGACTTTTTCCATTGAAGGGGTAATTGAGACACGCCCCTTAATTCTATGCAGATTGAGAGGCAGGCTAGGTACCTTGAAACTCTTTCAAAGGCTATCTAAACTCACTTTCTTAAAATCCAGTTAATTCCCAGTCCCCTGTGGTCTCAGGTCCAACACTGAGGTTGCCTCATTTTTATAGGTTGGATCAAGGTCATGTGCTTATTCCTACTCCTCTGTACCCACCAGGATGCGTCTGCCATTTGCTCTGGGAAAACACCTCCTGATGCCTTTTAGTGCCATGAAAGCCAGTGCGGGAGCGCCTGGTCTACGGCACATTGCCACACGGCTGACACCGTTACACCCTCTCCCTGTTAATAATAGAATCAGGCTCAGTGTCCTTACGCTCTGCTCTCCAAGAACCGGCCAGCGACCAAGTGATTTCTGCGACATCTGATGATGCCGCCAGGCTTCTCCAAACTCTGTAAGGTTCCAAGAGACTCATTTTCCTTGTTTTCTTGCTTCTTCCAATGGCTGCTGGAGTGGGGTGGCGGGGCAGGGCAGCATCAGTCTCCCTCTCTCTAGGTCTGTACACCCGCTGTCCAGAGCATGTTTCCCTGGAGAGTCCCATTACTGCTTCCAAGTCTGCATGGTCATTCATTAAACATCTGTAAGGCTCATGCTAAGTGTCAATTACTGTGCACTGGACCACATGGACTGAGACCTTGCGCTCAAGGAACTGCTCTCAAAACCCCGCTGCAACCCACCACTGAGGGGTCCCCCTCTTCAGAGCTCTGGGCCTGGAAATGTGAGGTCTCGCCTCTGCCATTCCTTTTCCAGATTCCAAGCACCTGCCTTTGTTTCTTTTCTCAAAATGTCAGGCAATCTTGTGCTTTAATCCCTGCTACCGCATCTGGGAGTGGTCCTTATCCCTGCCAAGGAAGGCTTTTGGTGCTTGTCGTCCCACTATCTCCCTGCTTCCCTTCTTCCTAGTTTATCCTCCACTCCCCAGACCATTTACCTACACTGATGTCAAAGGGTTAGCACTCCCCTCTTGGTCTCCCTCCCTCCCGCTCTCTCTCTCTCTCTCTCTCTCTCTCTCACACACACACACACACATACACACACACACTAATGCGGAATCCCCATGCCTCTGCTTGGCTTTCAAAGCCCTGCACGTCTTTACCGATGCTTGTCTTCTGCTTCCGTCAGAGGACCTTCCTCACTGGTACATCCTGCCCTCCCGCTGCACCTCTACCCTTTGCTCACTGCACTGCAACCTCCTCCTGAAATGCCCGCCCCTCGTGTCTGCCTCTGCAATGCTCCCTCCCTCCAGGCACAGATTAAGTCCCATCTCCTGGACAAAGCTTTCTCACCAGTTCACTCCTCTGTCCACACCTGTTCGGCTCATTGAATTTAGTGTAAAAAGGATATCAGTTAGCCCTTTGTTTCCCCCACTAACTGAAAACTCTCTACCAACCTTCTCAGTATTCCGAGTCTGCTCCAGGACCTTATACACAAGTGCACCAAGCAAAGGAACAAGGTACTGAGTGATGGATTAATTCAGGGAAGCCCAGAAACTCCAATCCCCAATCTGAAATTCACTATAAGAAAGTACCCAAAGTATATGGCCAAAAAATGGTTTGACTACAAAATTGAGAATTTCTATCTAATGAATGATGCTTGAGACAAAATCAGTAGAGAGATGATAGATTTGCTGAGAATATTCATGACAGCCGAAAGTCACAAAAGATAAGTATCTTATAAGTTTAAGATACTTATATCTTTAAGATAAGTATCTTAAACTTATTCAAGTCAACAAAAAACTAATAATTAGTATTATCTTAATACAATTTTAATAATTCACTTATGTTTGTTATTTATCTTTGTATTTATAATATTAATAAATTACTTGTAATAGTAAGTATAATATACATATTATGTAATAATATACAGTATTATATATTATAGTATATTATTATATAATATATAGTATATAATAACTAACATTTATTGCATGTCTATTATTTACCAGACACTCACCTAAGTGTTCTGCAAGTATTAATCTTCATTAATCTGTGAGGTAGTTGCTGTTTTTCCCTTTTGTAAATGAGGCTAAGGTACAGTGAGTGACATGAAGGAACTTCCTCCAGGTCACACAGCCAATAAACAGCAGGGCCAGGCTATAGCCTAGGCATCCTGGCTCTAACATAGGTTTGCCCCTCTGCTATCCACCCTTCTTTTTGCTCTGTATTAAGAACTTGAATAGGCAAGGCTCTGGAGGAGACACTTGAGTGGATACCAGGCATAAAAGGAGACCTTCAGCTTCCTAATAATCAGACCAGTGCCAATAATCTCATAGACTAGTGAGATACTGCTTGGTAGCCAGCAGGTTGGTGAAAATTAAAATGTCAGCTAACATAGCACTGACGGTATTTAGTGAACATGTGTATGTGTAGTCCCTGTGACCTACAACCCTGGGGTTACCTTCCCAGGGAATTGCTTACTCTGGGCATGAAGAGATCCTCTGAGGTGTCAGTCACTGCATAGCTGGGGATGTCCAGGAGCGGGCAGCAGGTGAGGTGCTGGTCCCTGGGGGATGGATGCAGCGAGCTGTGAAGAGCAGTAAACCAGGTGAGCAGACAGATGTACAGACACAGGCAGGTAAGGTTGCTGTGCCATTTATATCAATGCAAAAATACATTCTTCACAAATGATACTCTAGTTTTCCCAGATACATAAGCTTGAAGGACATAACAGATCGAGCATCTATGGAGGAACTGGAATAGGGAAAGAAGGGGAAAAAAGAATAAAATAAATAACAAATATGTAAAACTATGTAACATGACTGGTACAGATTAATGGTGATAGTGTGCTCTACACTGAGAAATATGACACACACAAAAATGAGAATGAAGGTTAAAAAATACACAAAACCCAAAAAGCAATCAGAAAATATATACCATGGAGAAACTCAGAGAATGCTAATTCCAGGACAAGCCATCAAAACCTCATATTTGAGCTTTGAGACTTAATTGTCGACAACCTATCTCCCCTCAATCTCAAGAATGGTTTCAACTGGTAAATTAAGATCAGGTTAACCCAAGGGGAATTGGTTCATTTTCTTCAGTGGTTGTGGACAACCCAACTTTTTCCTTCTTCAGGGAAAATTCAGGTACACTGGCTACCAACGGATGTCTAGCTGGACCTGGCCATGGTGCACTAGTCATGGAGTTGACCTTACCATCAAGGCAATGTTCTCCTCCAAGACAATTAAAGCAAACCCAGAATGAGGATGCTCCTGCATTTAAAAACTGGAGTCAGGTATTGACACAAGCCTTTGGGGGTCTCTGTGAAATGAAAATGAAAGAAGGTGTGAGAATCTAGTTTTTAGCCAAGATGTTTTCCAAACCATAGTCAACTACCATGTCCCTCAGAGACAGGCATACTGAGTATGTTGTTGATAATCCTTTTGGTTTTTAAAAACCATGAAACATTACAACACTTTAAAATTATAAATAAACTTGAAGCATGGGGGTGGTACAGACAGATGGCAAATTCTAAATATCCCCAAGAGAATTCTATTTTGTAGGCATATTTAGATTTACTGAAGGTCTTCTCTCTTAGTTTCTCAACAGAGCCAGAACCAATTACCTATGATAATCAGCATAATTCAGCTTTGGGTATGTACTGTAGTCATGTACATATACCTGTGTGTGCACGTGTGTGTGTGCGTGCGCGTGAGCACGTTGGGCTCTCTCCATGCCTCAACGTTTGCATCTTTTCCAGGTGCGATATTTGAGCATTTCCTTTGCACCGGCTTGGGACAAGTTTGCTGGAGGAAGTACTTTCTGTAGTGGTCAGGCTGGGTAACAAAGCCAGTGGCTATATATACCCTCACAATACACTTAGGAATTAATGGGGTTTTGCAAAGGAACCTACTCAGAATAAAAGTTTTCTAGAGCAGTTATTGTCAAGAGGAAGCAAGCAACATGCATTATTATTACATCAAAACCAAAATGATAAGATTTCATCTTTTGCATCCTGCCACACCTGTTATTTCAACAACTGGAGTGTCAATTCAGTTCAGAATCACAAATTATTGGAATTGGAAGAGACCAAAAACATCACCCTCTCCTCTCATTTTGAGGCTGGGGAAATGGGGGCCTTGCAAGGAGGAGTCTCTTGCTTAAAAATACCAAGCATATTAGGAATACAATTGGAAAAACAAGTTTCCTGCCTTGCATTCCAGGGCACTTTCATTCATCATGCTGAGTCTGCTGTTAACAGACATCACTTACTGGGGCTCCGATGCAGGGGAATATAACATGTATGACATATCTCCTATGGCCAAAAGGGGGTGCTAGAAGTTAGCGTAAGTGAATGCATCCAAATACTACTGCACTTTGTAAGCAGGAAGCACGAATTGAGAACAGATCCGATGTACAGTAACCCCACAGTTTGCATTAAAATGAAACAGTCCAGTGAGGAGACAAAGTAATTCCTGAATCATAAACAGCCAAGCATGTTACTTAGGGCACAGGCTCTGGAGACTGGCTGACTTGGCTCAAATTCTTGGTGTGTCTTTATTCCCTAGGCAACCTCGAGTAAGTTACTTAACCTCTCTAAGCCTCTGTTTCATCTGTAAAATGGGCATAAGTATGCTTTTATGCTTGCAAAGGAGGGATAAGTATGTACAATGTTTCACATTCAATAAAGGGTATTTGTTATCATTTAATGGATCAATGATTTCTGTTACAACCTCAAGAAAATTAGGCTTTTTAAAAGGCCATCAACTATTAAATCAAAAGTGTTAGAAGAAATTTCTTTTACTTTTTGAGGTCAACCACGTTAATGAATGTAGGTTCTTCAAGAATATCTTATAATCTTTGTGTGTTGGTGTGTGAGAGTTATTCTTGAGTTTCTGTAATATTTCTGAAATTTTCTTCATGGTCCCTTGCATATTATAATTTTAAAAGACATCATATATATATATATATATGTGTGTGTGTATATATATATATATACACACACACACACACATATATATCACCTTTATGTATTGAACAGATGTTGGCACAGGCTTTGTAATTTGTTAGACTTGGGTTTGAATCCAGGCTCCATTACCTACTTCTTAAATGACCCTGAGCAGAATGGCCATCATTAAAAAATCTGCAAATAATAAATGCAGGAGAGGGTGTGGAGAAAAGGGAACCCTCTTGCACTGTTGGTGGGAATGTAAATTGATACAGCCACTATGGAGAACAGTATGGAGGTTCCTTAAAAAACTAAAAATAGAACTACCATATGACCCAGCAATCCCACTACTGGGCATATACCCTGAGTAAACCAAAATTCAAAAAGAGTCATGTACCACAATGTTCATTGCAGCTCTATTTACAATAGCCAGGACATGGAAGCAACCTAAGTGTCCATCGACAGATGAATGGATAAAGAAGATGTGGCACATATATACAATGGAATATTACTCAGCCATAAAAAGAAACGAAATTGAGTTATCTGTAGTGAGGTGGATGGACCCAGAGACTGTCATACAGAGGGAAGCAAGTCAGGAAGAGAAAAACAAATGTCATATGCTAACACATATATATGGAATCTAAAAAAAAATAAAAAGGTTATGAAGAACATAGGGGTAAGACAGGAATAAAGACACAGACATAGAGAATGGACTTGAGGACACGGGGAGGGGGAAGTGTAAGCTGGGGTGAATTGAGAGAGTGGCATGGACATATATACACTACCAAATGTAAAATAGATAGCTAGTGGGAAGCAGCTGCATAGCACAGGGAGATCAGCTCGGTGCTTTGTGACCACCTAGAGGGGTGGGATAGGGAGGGTGGGAGGGAGACGCAAGAGGGAGGGGATATGGGGATATATGTATACGTATAGCTGATTCACTTTGGTATAAAGCAGAAACTAACACACCACCGTAAAGCAATTATACTCCAATAAAGATGTAAAAAAAAAAAAAGATCCCGAGCAGATGAAATGTTTTAAGATTCTGATTCTCTCATCTGTCAAATGTGGTTGAATATAAGTACTTTGAAGTATTATTACAAGGATTAAAATGTTATAAGAATTAAATGGTACTTAAGACCAGCTTAGATAGTATTTATTTAAAAAACAAACAACTTGACACAATCCCTGGCACAGGGTGGACAGCATAACCAGAGTAAACACCATTGTTCCCATTTACAGTGACTTGCCCAAGGACACACATCCTTCAAGTGGCAGTTCTTGGATTCCAGCTGTCATTCTATCTTTTCCAAAGCAATATAGCCTCACAGAATTACAGGGTCTCATGCCGGACTCTGCAAATGTCCCTATTTGGTGACTCTGTCCTGAGAAGGACCATCTCCCCTCAGCCCACTGTTGATGGGGTTACGTTGCTGTCTGTCCAGAGAGCCGGGGACCCCAGGCAGAGCCCCAGGACGGGACCATTCACCTGACAAGGAAGTCTGGAAGGCTGGCAGCCACGTGGAGTTTATCTGAGCCAGCAGTGTCCCCTCCTTTCGTCTGAACCTATCAGAACCTGTCACTTTCAAATGAAACCTTCTGATGATCCAGAGACTAAACCCTTAATTTCTTAAAAATACCCTAAACAGGTGAAATATCTTGGGGTTAGAGAAAGAAAACCAGACTGAAAGGAAACTCAGGAATCCAGAAAGAGGAAATCCTGTTTCACAGACGAGAAACTGGGATTTGATATATCATCCAGGGAGCCAAGGGGGAAGACATAAACCTGAAATTTAAATGGAAGCAAACAAACTGGAATGGAGTCTCCAGACCCTGAAGGTGGTCAGTAGCACCCTATGCTGTAGGTGTGTGTGGATAACTGAGCAGATGTAAGCAGACAGATGAACCGAAGTCTCTCCAGCTGGTTACAGAAGTTCTCTGTGGGCCCAATGATGCATAACCCAGCCCAGATCACCCTCCTTCTTTCCTCACCAGCTTTGGCCTGCCACCTCTCTGGGGTTATGGAGGATTTCTTCTGCGAAAGGCAGTGGGAGAAAAGAGAGAATAAATACCACGATCACGGCATTGTCACCCCATCTCCCCATTAGACAGCTCTCCACGTTTAGATGCCCTATCTTTGCATCTTTATTACACCCAAAGAACTTAGCATAATGCCTTGCACGTCATGGCAGATTCATGAATACCGCTTGGAAAAATGAGTCCCGTCAGAGTTCTAAGGTGGCCATCTGTGTGGTCTATAGTAAGCTGGAGGAGCTTGAACTACTGTCTTGGAGAGGGTGTAATAGCAGGTGGTGAGAAACCCTCCTTCACAATGAGGAAAGAGCCGTGTCACCGTCACCAATAGGAAGTTAGACTTGATTGACTCAGCCAAGCCCCACTGGTCTAAAACTATTCTCAGCAGCGCTTCCAGGCTGTCCTGGAGGAGAGCACAGTTCCTGCAGACATGCCGTCGCTGTTCCACGTGCTCACTCTGACAGTCCTTGGGGCTTGTAAGTTGTTTTCTTCCCTTAATAGCCTTTGACCAATATTCTCTAATTTTGTCATTTTAAAAAATTCCAAGGTTCTGGTTTATTTGCTCTCCTCCTTTTTTTTTTTTTCCAGTATGTGTGTATGGTGCAGGTCATCTAGAGCAACCTCAACTCTCCAGTACCAAAAAGCTGTCAAAAACAGCCCGCCTGGAATGCGTGGTATCTGGTGTAACCATTTCTAAAGTGTCTGTATATTGGTATCAAGACAGACCTGGTGAAGCCATGCAGCACCTGCTACACATTTTATCTAACAACACCGTCAGAAGGGAATCAGACGTTACACTGGGCAAGTTTGAGGCAGACAAGAAACCCGAAACTTCTACGTCGACCCTCACCATTCACAATGTACAGGAACAAGACGCGGCCACCTACTATTGTGCCCTCTGGGAAGTGCACAGTAGCAGACATTAGAGTCACGTCATTCAATAAATGATCCTTGGGTTGTTTTTTTTTAACATCTTTATTGGAGTATAATTGCTTTACAGTGGTGTGTTAGTTTCTGCTTTATAACAAAGTGAATCGGCTATACATGAACATATATCCCCATATCTCCTCCCTCTTGCGTCTCCCTCCCACCCTCCCTATCCCACCCCTATAGATGGTCACAAAAATCATTGGGTTTTCATTCACTATTGTGAGTTAGGAAACCACAGTTACCACCTGTATGCTTCTGTACAGTTTTCTAGATCAACTTTTATATAGGTGACTCTATGTGAAGTGGCCAAATCCTATATTTTCTTAGAGGAAGCTTTCAGAAGTATGTGCAAATAACCAGGGTTATGTTTTCAGGGAATCATCTTGCTCTCAACAGGCTTTCCCAGGGCACCCATGTTTATTCATCTGAGTCAATCTCCGCTACTCACTCTTTTATTTTCTGCCAAGATATATATACCACGTTATCTGTGACATTTTCTTGTATGAGTCAATTTGTATTTCATTAGTGTTTTTTATGATCTACTTATCTCCTTGGATTAAAATAATGGATATTAGATTGAATGCTAATCATTTTCTCTTTTTTTGACCGCACCATGGCTGCGGGACCAGGGATTGAACCCAGGCCCTCTGCAGTGGAAGCGCAGAGTCTTAACCACTGAACTGCCAGGGAAGTCCCTAAATGCTATTCATTTTCCTAGAGGCTAAAATGTAGCAAACACACCATGATCTAACCACAAGCAGGGCTGATTGCATAATAAATATATCAAATTCATGCCCTGGAATGGTGATATTTGATTTTGCACAAAACTTATAAATGCTGCTACTTATTGAGTCCAAGTCAAAGTCTACTTTGGATTAAGGTTTGGGGAGTCTTGCATTTTCTGGCTTAAGATTCCATTTATCCCACAATAAGTGTGTGACACTTTGAGCCAGGCGTTGTGCACAGCAGACATTGCAAATCTCATATGCTTTGTCAAAGCTGGAGGTCACTTCTGTAGAGCCCCCTTTCGGCTGCTGGGCTGCCACTCCCCAGTGAAATGACAGTCCTCAACTACGGTTCAGGGTTATAAGTCTCCCAGGAATGCTGGTTACTTCTAGATCAGCTCATGGTTTATAATTTTTGTTGTTTTGCCATGATGAAACAAATATGATTTTTGTTTTCTTCAAATGTGATCTTATATAAAACAAATGAAAGTACATTTGCTCTGGTTAAAAGAATGGAGGGATAAATAATTCTTAGGTTTGTCGTCTCAAATAGCTCTTACATTTTCTGATTCTTCAATAGTCAACAATTATCTGGCCACAGATAGGGTGTAGCCAAGCGGTGAAGACCTTGGCCTCTTGTATCAGAGAGACCTAGGTCTGACTTGGGCTCTGACATGTACTAGCTATGTGACAAGGCCGATCGCTGCTATAGCCCATTTCCTCACCTGTAAAATAGAGGTCCTCCTGGTTGTGTGAGTGTTCCTGAGATGACGCATATTAAGGATTTGGTCCAGTGCTCAGCATACTGTGAGAACTCAGTAAATGTTAGCTAGTAATAAATGAAACAAACAAAGTAACGATGAGGGCAGCTATACGTACAGGAACACACACACACACACACACCTCTTTATATCCAGGTCTTAGCATCACATCTGTCATAGTGTGGCTGACTTACAGTTTATTTAAAGAGAGATTAGCTAGCTATGAAGAAAGCCTTTTGAGAAGCCATCCCCAATCAATTTCAATCTAAGTTTCCAATCACAGGTCCCTAGTACCCTTAGGGCACACACAGGTGAGACTGACAGTGGTCTTGCTTATGGAGCAACAAGCCTTATGGGAGGAAAAAAAGTCTATATTTGGAGTCACTTACTCCTCATGCCCTTCTTTAGGTTAAAGTGAACTTCATCAAGGACACTTCGGCAGCACACACCAAAGGCAAACCAGCCCGAGGCAAACCAGCCCTCTCCTAAGTAAACATTGGCAATTAAATGGTTCATAGAGCATGGAAAGCATTTGATTAGCATGTACAGTACCGAATACAGAAGGGGCTCAATTAATGTCTGTTGAAGTGAGGGCTATATTTCCATTATTATTGAGGTGTTTGCATTACCCGATGGGTGGATGGGGGAATTTGTACAGATGGATGCCTGAAATCTCCTGATGACTTTGACTCAATGTAACTTTCTCTCACAGCTGAGGTGGGTGATTCACAATGACTTTGAGTAATAGAACCAACATTATATTATCGAATTAATGCTGAGTAAAGTCTAGGAAAACCTTAAAAATCATAAATCATATCATATCATATCATCTACTGCCAACTCCCTGTACATACTAGTACTGTGGGAAAAGTGATGTCTGTTCGCTAAGCGTCAACTTGGAAAAACCACAATTCTGAAAATTGCTAGGCCCACCTGGAAATCCATTTGATTCTTTTGTCTTGGGTGATCTTTACTTTCAGCCCTGAGAATGGGTTTAGAGCATCAGCCCAAGATAGAGGAAAGGGTGCTAATTTGCAATGGTCACCTCTGGAGGTTGGGATCATGGATAATTTTTTTCTATGTCACTTCTGTGGCCCCTATATTATCTAATAGAAAACTTTTATTACTTTTGAATTTTATTTTATTTTTAAAAAGAATTCACACATTTCATAATATTAAAAATACCTCAGAAACCTTTGAGCACTTAGAGTAACATGAAATTTGATGGTTAGAAAGGCCTGTAATGGGCTCTGTCTTGACCATTTTTTTTCTCCCCTCTTCTCTAACAACTTTTGCTTCTTTACAAAATGAAATCTTGTTTTCTCTCTTGATTCCCAGTGATCCTGTCTGGCAAGTGAGAGACAGTGTTAATGCTCAGGGTGGCTTATTGGGCTTAAATGTCTTTTTTTACCTTATTATAGACACTAAGTAGTACAGATAGTGCCAAAAATATGCAGTCTTCTTATTAACACTGTGCTACGACGTTCTTGCTTTCTTTACTTCTGTTTTGTCCAGATGCAGATGCCGTGATGAGCAAAAACTTCACACTTCATTGCACAGGAGGGGTTTCTGTCTGCAAGGTTGTTTGGCACTCCTATTGCCTGAGAACATGATCTTCTACCTCTCATGGAAGGTTGCTAGAAAATCAGCCTCATGGGATCTTCACCTGGAGAGTAGGGAGAAGATAGACTTTCGACCGGCTCTCGACGCAGAAGGCTAACCCCTATGGATTCCACTAATGGGCACATTGGAAATCATTGATTTCCATTTAATTTCGGCCGATGGAATTTGAAGTTCAAAGAAACCATGACTGTGTCACCTGACAAAAGCATTCCTGCCTTGGGCACTAGGATTTCCAAGCCCTGAGGAAATAACAAAGAAACACATGCTCCTCTCTATGAAGTTTATCAACTAGAAAGCACAGAATTTAATGATACTTTCTCAACACCCGTCCAGCTTCCTGTTTTCTTACTGAAGGAGCAGTGGCACATCCTGTTCTGTTAGGGACGGGATCTTAGTGGCTTTGTGGAAAGTGAAATGAAACAAGATTGATGAAACCTTCTTCTTACTCTTCAACTTATATTACTTATTTTGGGGCAAACATAGCCCGCTTTATTTGACCACGTGCTTGACTTCTTCCTTTTGCTCTTCCAGATTGACTGTCCACTTCTCTTAACTGTCCTGTATGCCTTACGAGTCAGACCTTCATGGACTAGGTTAATGGTCTTCTCTCTGGTTGCTGTTTGGGAGACTGGAAAGTGGGCAGAGAGTGAGGTCAGGGCTCCCTCCCTGACAGGTGGCCTTGGATTGGCTGCGTTCTCCTCCAGGGGCCAAGTATAGTGACATCTAACCCATAGCCAGAAGGTTTATGTCCAGGAACCAAAAGGTGAAAGTGCATGTGGACATTCCTTTTTATACCAATTCACCCAGTGGAGGGATGTGTTTCATCTGCTCACACCCTGGGAGGCTCTCTCCTCCTTTTCCTGGGCCTCTTCCCTATCTGCTGCTTATCCTTTTTGGGCACTCAGCCTGGGCAGACAGGATGTATGGCTACAAATGTTCATCTGTTCTTCACTCATGCTGGGAACGTAAATTTGTTTCCCTATTTTTCAGATGTGGTGAGGATTTTTTAATAAAGTAAATTCCAGTGAGATAAGTCAGACAGAGGAAGACAAATACTCTATGTTATCACTTATATGTGGAATCTGAAAAATAAAACAAAAGAATGTAAATAACAAAATAGCAACAGACTCACAGGTATAGAGAACAAACTAGTGGTTACCAGTGTGGAGAGGGAGGTGGGGAGGGCAAGATAGGGGGATGGGTTTAAGAGATACAAACTACTATGTACAGAATAATAAGCAAGAGCACAGAGAAACAGAGCTATTGTTTTGCAATAACTTTAAATGGAGTATAATCTATAAAAATACTGAATCACTATGTTGTACACCTGAAGGAAGCATAATATAGCAAATCAACTATACTTCAAGAAAAAATAGAATTACCCATGCCACCAAAGGAAAAGTAATGTCTTATTTCTTGATTATTTTGCTTTTGGTTGGAAATGCTATTCCAATTGAAGCAAATGAAAATATTTAATAGCAGAAAGGAAACATATGTTTTCACTGTAGGGTATCCAGATATAACTTTCCATACCACACAGGTGCTGAAACCAAGTCAGGCTTTTGAGGGTCAGATATTTACTTGAAAAAAACCTTATTTAAGGTCAGTTATAATCAAAGAATTGCAACCACAGAGTACATAAAATTCACAAAAGAAGATGAAATGAAGACCTAATATAATGGGCCCTGGGAACCTACAGTATCATTAGAGCCAAGACAATGAGCAAAAACACCCCTTATCATGACTTGTGACCACATCCTTCCCAACATGGAGCAACCTCGGTCCCAAGTCCAGATCTCAGCCCTGGCTAGACCTCAGCCTCAGCCTGCAGCACTTCCTGTGCTTCTCAGGTCGATGCCTCATATCAAAGGAAAGAGGAAAGGGAGTCTGATGGCTATCAGTTGTACCCATACAGATGTTAATAACTGTGCCCCCAAAAGTCTGGTTTGACATCATTTCCTATAGACATGGGTTCCTATTTAGAGAATATGTATGTTGAAATGGCCTGATTATCTCAGAGAGAAGAAAAGGCAAGGTGCATTATTTCATTTCCCAGAGATTTTCAGTAATTGTGAAAAGCTCAGGCCAAAGGTACTGACAATGAACATAGTGGAATTTACATCCATTTAGCTCCCAATGGCTACCAGATGACGTGTTAGATGTCATATGTGTTCAGAAGCTTATGTGACTAAAAACTCTGCAAATAAGCATGTTTCATGCAAGAAGGAATTGATGCTTAGACAGAGGCAGCAATCAGTCCAAAAAAATAGTCCGTGCTGTTTCAGTTGCAGTATTGGGCCACTTTGAATACCCTTAGTGTTTACTAACTTTATAAGAATATACTTTGGCATTTTGTGAGCAAATATGGATTGTCCCAGACCTATCTCCCTGCCTGGTAGAGCCTGGTCAGGACAGAACGAGTAGCCACTCAAGAGGTCATGGCTAGAAAGTCACCTTGGGGCACATCTTAAAGAGCTTTGTTTCTGTACAGTCTGCCCTAGGACCCTTCGCCCCTAGGGGAAGGTAAAAGTCTAAGAAAATCATCTATCTTCTATGTTTTATGAATTTAATTCAGCAAGAAATATCATAGACGGGGTACATAAAGAGGGCTCAAAACTCCATAGCCTAGACTTAAAGAACAATCACACTGTGCAATGAGGGTAATATTTTGGAAATTCGTAGGCAGCATATTTTTACTCTCCTACATAAATCATGTCACCTGTAGTCCTTCCTCTGTTAAAACTAAACCATGAGGTTACCACCCGTGGAAGGAGATAGTGGCTGTGCTCAGAAACAGCTCCCTTTTTGCTTCTTTTATTTTATCTATTTTCCCCATGTTTATTGAGATAAAATTGATATACAAGACTGTGTAAGTTTAAGGGGTACAACATGCGGCATCAATAGTGGTAGGTTAAATTCTGATTATTGTACCAGCCAACTGAGCGGAAGAGACCAAATCCCAGAGGCCAGCAGGACAAAGAGCTGGAAATTTATGAGAACACAAGGGGGGCGGGAGGATGACTACAAGAATTCACACTCCTCCTATGTGTACTGATACCCTCTGGGGGACGAGGGGAAGGAAGAGAGAGGAGCAAAAAAGATAAAGAAGTAACCTGAAGGAGACCGTTCTAAAATAGCAGAGACTAGGGCTTCCCTGGTGGCGCAGTGGTTGAGACTCCACCTGCCGATGCAGGAGACACGGGTTCGTGCCCCGGTCTGGGAAGATCCCACATGCTGCAGAGCGGCTGGGCCCGTGAGCCATGGCCGCTGAGCCTGCGCGTCCGGGGCCTGTGCTCCACAACGGGAGAGGCCACAACAGTGAGAGGCCCGCGTACCGCCAAAAAATAAAAAAATAATAAAAAAAAAATAGCAGAGACTATTCTAAATTGCTAAGTTTAGTATCTTCTTCCAGTGTCAGAATGAGGAAGAGATACATCAGTTATACACAGTAATGATGCTCCCATACCACACACACGCACTGAGTGGTGGCATGTGTATATTCTGTCACTGTGCCCCGCTCAAGGGTGCTTAGGGGTTGGGTATCCCTTCCCATGCCCACCCCCCATCTACCCTCAGGACCAGGGCTATGTTAGTCTCAAGAGACTGCCTTTTTCTAATTCTGCATAGGGGTGTGTGTCTTTTTTAATGAGTAAAAAGGAGCCTTATGTGCTATGGGATGGCCCTATTTAGGATGTAATAAGTTCATAGAATCATGTAGACAAGAAACAGGGTTTTAAATAAATTGACTCTATGAAGCTTCCTGGCCCAAAGGAAAGACAAAACGAGTCTAGGTAAAAAGAATCATCAGGGCTTCCTTGGTGGCGCAGTGGTTGGGAGTCCACCTGCCGATGCAGGGGACACGGGTTCGTGCCCTGGTCCGGGAAAATCCCACGTGCCGCGGAGCGGCTGGGCCCGTGAGCCATGGCTGCTGAGCCTGCACATCCGGAGCCTGTGCTCCGCAATGGGAGAGGCCACGACAGTGAGAGGCCCGCGTACCGCAAAAAAAAAAAAAGAATTATCAAAGAAGATGGCAGAGTAGGAAGACCCTGAGCTCATCTCCTGTCATGGGCACACCCAATTACAACTATTTACAGAGCAACTGTAAATTGTTGATGAGAGAGACCCGAAGACTAGCAAAAGAGATCTTCTACAACTAAAGATATAAACAAGGAACCACAACAAGATGGGTAGAAGGGGTGAAGGTGCAGTATAGGCAAGACCCATAACCCAGGGTGGGTGACCCACATGTGGGAGAATAACTACAATCTCAGAGGTTCACCCCAAGAAGCAAGGGTACCAAGCCCCACATTGGGCTCCCCAGCCCGGGGGTCCTGCACTGGAATGACGAGCCCCCATAATGTTTGGCTTTGAAGGGTGGCAGGGCTTACTTTCAGGAGAGCCAAAGAGCTGAGGGAAATAGAGGCCCCACTCATACAGGGCGCACACAAAATCTCACAGGGCAGTGGCAGTAATTTAAAGGAGCCTGGGTCAGGCTCACCTGATGATCTTGGAGAGCTCCCCAGAGGCAGGAGGCAAACAGAGCTCACCCAGGGGACCTAGACTCTGGCAGCAGCCATTCGGGGGAGCTCATTCTACCACAAGGACACTCGTGGTGGCTAGTGTCATTTTGGAATCCTCCCTCTAGCTTATTAGTGCCTGGGCCTATGAGGCTATCAGCTGACTTTTCAGGAGAAAATTTGCAGGCAAGAAGAGAATGCCATGACATATTTTAAATGATGAAAGGGGGGAACCCAACAACCAAGAATACTCTACCCAGAAAGGATTTCATTCCGATTTGATAGAGCTATCAAAAGTTTTACAGACAAGAAAAAGATAAAAAGAGTTCAGCCCCACCAAACGAGCTTTACAAGAAATGATACAGGAACTTCTCTAAGTAGAAAAGAAAAGGCCACAACTAGAAATATGAAAAATGAGAAAGGAAAAATCTCATTGATAAAGGCAAATATACAGTAAAAGTGGTAAATCAAGCACATATAAAGATAGTAGGAAGGTTAAAAGACAAAAGTAGTAAAATCATCTATATCCACAATAAGCAGTTAAGGATATCCGAAATAAAAAGACGTAAACATGATATCAAAAACAGTAAACATGGGGGTGTGGAGTATAAACGCAAAGTTGTTAAAGTGCAAAGTGTTTGACCTTAAGAGATAAGCAACTGAAAATATTCTATATATAGATTGCTACATATAAACCTAATGATAGCCACAAACCAAAAATCTATAATAGATACACACATGAAAGAGAAAGGAATCCAAACATAACACTAAAGACCGTAATTAAATCAAAGGGAAGAGAGCAAAAGATGAAGCAAAGGGGTGGCGGCCAGGCTCAGCGGCCATGGCTTACGGGCCCAGCCGCTCCACGGCACGTGGGATCTTCCCGGACCGGGGCACGAACCCGTGTCCCCTGCATCGGCAGGCGGACTCTCAACCACTGCGCCACCAGGGAAACCCTCCCAGCTTTTTAACGTGAGATAAGGCACCTTTGCCACACTGTTCTCATAGTTCAAAGTGAGATAATAATACCACTGACTCTCAAGATTGAGAAGTATAAATGAAAGAATACGAAAAAAATATTTAGAACGGTGCCAGCAAATCCTCAGCAGATTTGTAGTAGAAATACCCTACCTACATCTTCCTCCTGTCCTGCCAAGTCACACGACACCTGGATCTTCCAAAACCCCACATTCCTGTTTTCTTCTAGGTGACATGGTCAGGCAGACAGGAAAATGTCACTGCTGGGCACATCCATATTTTTCTCCCTCTGGGCTTGTGAGTTGCTCTTAAGAGATGAAGTACATTCTTTATTATTTCCACTTTCTGTGTCAGATGTTTATGGGAATTTCCCTTAAAAAAAATTTTTTTTTTTGTGGTTGGATATGGGCAGTTAAAGTTAGAGCAACCTAAAATGTCATCTTCCAGAGCAACAGAAAAACAAATAACATATCCTGTATGAAGAAGACTTTGAAAATATAGTTATACACTGGTATTTGCAGAAACCCAACGAAATTATGACACATCAGATGTTTGTCATCTCAATAAAAACCCCAGTTTGAGTTCACTTAGGTGAGAAACAAAGCAAATTTGAGGCAAGAAAATTTTCAAGCACCCAGTTCAATCCTTACCATAAACTTCATAGAAGAAGCTGTGGCCACTGACTACAGTGCGGTGGGACCCACAGCACTAGAGGTGCCAACAGAGCCTAACAACTGCCTCTGACGGGGTTCTGCCCCATCACAGCCTTCCCACAGGAGCAAACTCAGCTAGTTCCTGCCTGGGCTCCCAGCCTCTGCCTCACTCTCTCTGCTACTTTCCTGAGCTTTCCAGGAAGCCATCTTCGCTTGTCCTTATACATCAGGCCCTATCTTGAGCAGCAAGCATTTCTGACCATGACGTTCCCAAATCTTCCTTTAACACAACTTCCCAATGAACTAAAGTCTTGTCTGGGAAGGAGTAGACACGGGCTTCATTTATCATATCACCATCCGGAGATTTCCAGTAACCGGGAATCGTTCAGGCTGAGGGAAGGAATCACTGCGTACCAGGACTCCTAGACTTGGTACATATATATTACCACACGTAATTATTACAGCTCCCCTGCGTGATAATCATTTTCTGCCCATCTTATAGGTAAAGAAATTAAAGCTTAGAGAATTAAAATGATCAGGCAGAGGCAGGAAGTCTATGCTGTTTTAACTGGACCTTGAGGCTATCCTGAAAATTTAAAGATCACAATTCTATAACAAACAGAATACTTGAGGTAAATTTGGGATGGAGCAAGTGTCTTTTTTTCTGCGGGAGCAGCAGGATGTTTCCTCCCTTCACATTCAAGACTGTGCCAGCCTGACTTCATCAGAGTAGAGGTCTGAGCTACTGAAGCCCAGGGTCTGTCCTCTTCACCATAAGAGGATAAAAAGAAGTACTGTGCATGGTTCCTACCTCCATGGAGAAAATAAAAGTCACCTTTGTGGAACACTCACTGGTACAATTTATTATTTTATACTGACTCAGGTGAGCAGGATTTGAGTCGTTGCAGGCTTCACAGAATACGTGAAATGCCAGTAAGTTAGCAATGTATTTTCCAAAGTATAAAATAATAAAATTCTATTGTTTTCTGATGCCACCTCTCAAATAATTGTGAAGCAAAGGGCTATCCTGTAATCCATGCATTCTTTTTATGCAGTACGTACTAGGCACCCGCTGGATATCATTTTGCATCTGTGCCATGAGTATTCCCTTATTTATTTGATAATTTCCAAAGTCATGGCAACATATTCACCCCCATCATCCCATCTACTAAATATTCCAGTCCTATTTCTAATTCAGGGAAGCCATGGAAAGAAAGAAGGGGGATTCACAGGAAAGACTGATACAGAATCAGTCTGTCAGCCTTTCTCTTCTTGCCTCTGATGCAGGCAACCTTTTCTGATTGCATCCTGTCTGTTTAATTTCTGTCCATCTTATTCACTCAGTGTGGGCCGCCATTGATTTCTTGAAATTAAATAGGGCGTTACTGGTTACCTAAACTTTGAACACAAGCTAAGGTAGAGAGCCAGACCTTAGAGAAACCAAAGGTCTGAAAACATAAGCCCTTTTGAGACAGGAACTCGAGGACAAGCTTGTCAACCTACTTCTGCTCCCTTCTTGACATGGTTGCCCACTGAGTACTCAAAAGTGCCTCATAAAGCAGTATGAGGTGTCCAAAGCAGGACCCCGTGCGTCACATCTTAGAGGAGAAGTTTCCAGTAGGTTCTTATGTGTCGGACTAAATGGTGAATAACAGGGAAAGATTTACATTGTGTTCAAAGGGTAGAAAACTAGGCAGCCGTTGAAAACAACGTTTTGTGGATTTATTAATAGAATTGAAAAATACCCACAATACAATATAAAGAAAATTCATGAGGATATAACAATCTATTAAAATTATAAAGGTTGTATTGATAGAAGAATTTAAAGAGAGGAGAGGGAGTTCTCCAACATCTTAAGAATATTCTTGAGAAAACAAATGGTTTTATTTCTACTATGTACTTTGATAACCTAACTTTACTAAATGAGCTACTATGGTTTTACTGTAAAAAAGTATCTAACAAAGTAACTTTCTCTTGTTTGATTATAGTAATAACAAGATTTCCTAACATCACTGAAGACTCAGGATGTGCCAGGTACTGATATCTGAGCATTTTCTTCATGTAATAAGATAATGTAAGCCTCCTAAAACATCTGAAAGATATATATGCAGTCAAGGTGTACCTGTGGAAAGCGAGGCAGAAGAAGCTTAAATAATTCAGCTCATGTCAGATAGGGTAAGTGGTATTGGAAGGTGTTGACTTATCTTTAGTCATTAGAAATAGCATTCACATAGTTTAGTTAAAGCAATGTTGCTTACTGTCATAAGTTAACCAAGAGAAGAGAATATAAAGCCCCAATGCAAATCCCACTTAAATGTGTATTTATGTAAATAATATCCAGCAATCCCATCTCTAGCCATAAAAATGTACAGAAAAATTCAAACTGAAAGTAAAGGATGGATGCCTCTTTTGTCCTTCTTTATATCGTACTTTACCCATTTTCTTTGATAAACAAAGGTTACTTATGTGAGTTATCACATTTACCAACTCCACGTCTCTGAATGAGTCTGTTTGCCACTATCCTCACTGGTCACATGGAGATGTTCATAACAGCTCCCTCACAGGCTGATTAAGAGGACTAAATAAAATTATAAGAGAACATTTAGAACCATGCCTGACAAATAGCAAGTCCTCAATGGATATTAGGTGCCATATTAATTTTAAAGATTACCGTTGCATATTAAACAGAATATTGCTTTTAAAATACTCCTGCACGTGACATAAAGTTCATGAGACTGTTCTCACGTCCAGGTTGAGTGAAGCTGATTTCCATAGATCACTCTGTCTCACAGATCCACTAGCAATTGTAATCTAGTCCCTTTTTGAAGGCACCCTGATTGTAAACAAAGTATGATTTCTCTGACTGATAATTTGCATGGTAACATCTCAATTAATTTAAAAAAAACACAAAAATACCCCAGTGCTTGTGCACATGGCATATTAAATAATGTCCAGGATGGCTTCCCTGTTGGCGCAGTGGTTGAGAATCCGCCTGCCAATGCAGGGGACACCGATTCGATCCCTGGTCCGGGAAGATCCCACATGCCGTGGAGCAACTAAGGCTGTGTGCCACAGCTACTGAGCCTGCGTGCCGCAACTACTGAAGCCCGTGCACCTAGAGCCCGTGTTCTGCAACAAGAGAAGCCACCACAATGAGAAGTCTGAGCACTGCAAAAAGAGTAGCCCCCGCTTGATGCAACTAGAGAAAGCCCTTGCGCAGCAAGAAGACCCAACACAGACAAAAATAAATAAATTTTAAAATAATGTCCAGGAGATGTTCTAGTGTCTGATTTTTTTCTGTAGCATTACAGAAAAATAAAGGTTAGTTTTCATAGCTGAGTCCTGGCTCACCAGCCAGTTACAGAAAGATAGACATAGGGAAAGAACACAGTAGGGATATTTCTGTAGCAACGTTACATATGTACAATTTCTGTACATATTTCTGTAGCAATGTTACTACAGCATGGAATTTCAGGGGGATGAGGGGAGTGGCTGTGAGAACTGCTCCGCCCCCAGGTATACGCATTCGTCTCAGGGTTTTCTTTCCAGATCGTGAGCCTACTTAGCCCACCTGCCCAGGACTCAGGGGCAGGAAAACCCCACGAAACCAGAACTGCTCATATCCGTAGCAGGTCATGAAGAACCCTAGAGAACCACCCGACCTGATCCATCGCTTCTTCCGAGACACGAGATCCAGCCCGGCTCTCCTGCCACTGGCCTGAGACTTCCTGCCAACAGAGCCCTCACTTTCTTACCTCCTCCCAGGGAGCCAGTCTGGGGACGGGATGGCACTCCTGGAAGCGATCCTCTTCTCCTCCCTCTGGGCTTGTGAGTTGCCTCCGAATCATTTCAGTCAACGGGAGAGACTGAAGAAGGTCTTTATCGTTGCCTCTTTACATGTCATTTGTTTATGGGAATTTCTCTTCTTTGCTTGCAGTTGGCCTTGGGCAATTAAAGTTGGAGCAACCTGAAATATCAGTTACTGGAGTAAGAGATAAGAGTGTACTTATATCTTGCAAGGTGTCCTCTGGAGACTTTAGCAACGAATACATCCACTGGTACCGGCATAAACCAAATCAGGGTATAGAACATCTAGCATACGTCGTAACAGCCCCTGCTCTAAAAGACTTAGGAGGGAAGAAAAACAAGATTGAGGCCAGAAAAGACGCCCCCACTTCCACTTCTACCTTGAAAATAAGATTCTTAGCGAAAGAAGATGAGGCCACGTACTACTGTGCCTGGTGGTTTTATGTCCACAGTGTTAGAGTTTCTTGGGTAACACACACAAGAACCATCTCCAGCTCTGTGCCTACCCACATCCTCAATACCAGCAACTACTGAGGCTGCACAGCTGAGAGCCCCGCCTAAGTCTCCCATTAAAGAGAGCGAGTCGCATGTGATATTTCTTTTACTATCCAGAGATTACTTGAAAGTTACATGGCTCATCCTCAAAGAGGAAATCACCCATTGCCAGAAAACACGCTGGTGGTGTTACATCTTATGTCAATGTCACAACACTGTTGCAACGTAATTCTCACTTTTTCCACTTCAATACTAATAATTTGAGGCTTAGCAAGATAAAATGACTTTTTTTTTTTAAGCCTGCATCTGACATTAATTTATTTATTTATTTTTGCTGTGTTGCGTCTTCGTTTCTGTACGAGGGCTTTCTCTAGTTGTGGCAAGCGGAGGCCCCTCTTCGTCGCGGTACGCGGGCCTCTCACTATCTCGGCCTCTCTTGTTGCGGAGCACAGGCTCCAGACGCGCAGGCTCAGTAGTTGTGGCTCACGGGCCTAGTTGCTCCGCGGCATGCGGGATCCTCCCAGACCAGGGCTCGAACCCGTGTCCCCTGCACTGGCAGGCAGATTCTCAACCACTGCGCCATCAGGGAAGCCCCAAAATGACTTTTTAAACCTCCAAATCCCATGCTACTTCAACTCTTTCAGGCCATCCTGAATAAGTTCAGAGTTTGGTTACTCCCTACATATTTGGGGTGAATGTGGGATGGGGCTCTTGCCCTCCCTTGCAGGAAGGGGGTCACTGTTAACTCCTCACTCAGGGTTTGTGTGACAGCCCGACCAGGGCAATTCCTTTTGCACAGGCCTCTGACCCCCAGGGGCATTAGGTGATCACACAACAAGGTGGAGACTCCTGTCAGGATCCTTTTCCCCGGGATTCTGCTGTGAACCAGCAGAGCACCACAGAGTCCATTTATTCAGGCTGCTACTCTCTCTCAGACACTGTTCTAAATCCTTTAGGTCTAATTTTTCTCATGTTTGGGACAATCCATTGACATCAGTGCTATCATGATTCACATTTTACAGGTGATGAAACACAGGCATGGAGATGTGATTTCTTTTGTGGTAATAGTTACCGAATGGGGGATGAAGCCTGCAGCCAGATGGGGAAAAAATAGTAGACTTTCTTCAGAAAGCATGCAAACAAGAAGACAGTGGACAAAAATCTTTAAAATATTGGAAGGGAAAACTGACATCTCAGCAAAAATATCCTTAGAAAGTCAAGGAGAATTGAAGAATTCTCAGACAAAACAGAAATTGAGGGGTTTCATTGCCAGCCCACCTACTCTTAAGAGATGTTAAAAGAAGTTATTCAGGCATAAAAAATATGGTATAGGTCAAAAATTTGAATTTCCATAAAGAAATGATGTGCATTATGAGTATAATAAATGAAGGTAAACAGTAATCCTTTAAATTTTTTTTTTTTTTTTGAGGTACACGGGCCTCTCACTGTTGTGACCTCTCCCGTTGCGGAGCACAGGCTCCGGACGCGCAGGCTCAGCGGCCACGGCTCAGGGGCCCAGCCGCTCCGCGGCATGTGGGATCCTCCCGGACTGGGGCACGAACCCGTGTCCCCTGCATCAGCAGGCGGACTCTCAACCACTGCGCCACCAGGGAAGCCCTAAATGTTATTTTTAATTGCGCTAAAATAGGAGTTGGCAGACATTTTCTGTGAGGACCAAAGAGTAATGATTTTCAGTTTTGTGGGCTGTGTAGCCTCTGTCCTTCAGCTTTGGCACGGCAGCATGAAGTCACTCTCCTTTTAGACCTTTAGGGACACGGAACTGCTATGACAACAGGGAGGGTATCTGTATTGAGAGGTCACTTTGGGAATTCCCTGGTGTTCCTGTGGTTAGGACTCAGTGCTCTCACTGCCGAGGGCCCGGGTTCAATCCCTGGTTGGGGAACAAAGATTCCACAAGCAGTGAGGCGTGGCCAAAAGAAAAAAAAGAAAGAGAGGTCACCTGCCAGGAGCTGTGGGCTTTAGTAAAGGGACACAACTGTCTGTCAATGCAAATCATTCATAAGTCATCTTTAATAGGAAGAGAAAAAAAATTTTTTTACTTGAGCTAACCTGAAGACAGCCTACGAGACACAGATTCAAGGACCACAGCTTTTCTGTCAGTAATTAGGATTAGAGTCAGCAAGGTGTAAAGGGTGACTCTGAGCTGGCAGCTACGAGCAGGTACTGTTTTTGAAAGGGCTTGTCGTGTCCTTGAGTTTGATACACTTCAGAAAATTCAAGTTCCCCGTAATGCAGGAACGTGCCGGAAAACACATCCACAATGGAACCCGGCTCCATTTGGGATGCCTCAAACAGTTTTGTTTCTGTCAGAACAAAGGACAGACATTGAACATGACAAGGGCACGCTTCATCAAGGTCTCAGAGAGACAGGTCAGTATGTACATGGCGACTCAGCTTGATCTCGGTGTCTGGAAAGGAAATCTCATCTTCAAAGGAGTACTAGCATTGACCTCATAGGAAGGGAAGGGCATTCATTTGTATCTTCAAAGTGGACATCCCAAATAATCTGGTAATGCATTCTTTTTTTCCCTTGAATGGCTAAAGCGAATGTGCAATATATGTTTGACAGGCCATAAGACAGGCTGTTCTAGTTAGCACAAAGTTCAAGCCAAATGAGGTATAAACAAGAATGACTTCCCCATACCTCAATATGTGAACATGTCTTCCATCAATACCTACCTATCCTAGTTTGGGTTCCCCAGAATAGATGACTTGGGATATGAGTATAAGTAGTTTATTTGGGAGGTGCAGGCAGTAAGGAAAGGAAACGTGAAAGGCAAGGCAGATGACACTAGGTCGCTACAGGGAGCATAACAAGGGTTCAAAACTGAGTGATGGGGCTTCCCTGGTGGCGCAGTGGTTGAGAATCCGCCTGCCGATGCAGGGGACATGGGTTCGAGCCCTGGTTTGGGAGGATCCCACATGCCGCGGAGCAACTGGGCCCGTGAGCCACAATACTGAGCCTGCGCGTCTGGAGCCTGTGCTCCGCAACAAGAGAGGCCGTGATGGTGAGAGGCCCGCGCACCGCGATGAAGAGTGGCCCCGGCTTGCCACAACTAGAGAAAGCCCTCGCACAGCAATGAAGACCCAACACAGCAAAAATAAATAAATAAAAATTTTTTAAAAAAGAATAAAGATGTTAATCTGAGATCACAAAACGATCTTTATTAAAAAAAGAAAACTGAGTGATGAATTGTGTAATGGATTTCCTGTTATGCTCTCCTGTTTTGTGGACTGGCTATGTAAAAAGAATAGAATCTGTGGGACCCTAAGCGATCTGAGCCAACGTGGTGGTGAACCAGGGAATCTTGTTAAGAGTCAGAACACTGCAAGGAAGTACTTGCGGAGTAGAAAAATGTTCATGGTATCATATTAGGTAGTAAAGACAGAGCACAACCTTAAATATACGATATCATCATATCTATGTGAAACAAATTTTTTAAATGAACAGAAATTAATCTGTAAGCAAATGTACCAACTGTTACCAAGTAATTGTCTCTGAGCGATGGGACAAAAGACGATTGTCTTCTCTTCTGTTTGTATTTCTTTATGATCCATACTGAGGATGCACTCATTATATATTAGGAAATAACAATGGCTTTTGTTTTTAAGGTATATTAAGGCACTACGAGGACACAGCATCTCTAAGGATCCCATTTAATGGTCACATTCAAAAATAAGAGAATATGGGGCTTCCCTGGTGGTGCAGTGGTTGAGAGTCTGCCTGCCGATGCAGGGGACACGGGTTCGTGCCCCGGTCCGGGAAGATCCCACATGCCGCGGAGCGGCTGGGCCCGAGAGCCATGGCCGCTGAGCCTGCGCGTCCGGAGCCTGTGCTCCGCAACGGGAGAGGCCACAACAGTGAGAGGCCCGCGTACAGCAAAAAAAAAAAAAAAAAAAAAAAAGAGAGAGAGAGAATCTGAAATGTCTTCTTTAGCTGGGTTATCTAAAGTATAGAGCAGCATCATACACAAATAAGCTGTCCCTTTAGCCTACATCTGAGATTGCCTGATGCACTGTAGTGACCGTCAAAGATGTTAGATTAGAAGTTTCCCATGAGGCTTGTCAAGTATGGACGTAGGCCTCTTTCTCCCTCCTTTTCCCTCTCCCTCACTCTGTTAGGCCAGTAAAGGACTTCAGTCCTTTAACAAGAAAAGGGGTTCTTAACACTAACATCACTGGTTGGTGAAAATCACACAGTAATGAGAGGAACCTGCTGATCAATGAGCAGGCCTATTTCCACAGGATGTTCTGAGCGTTACCACGAGCCCCTTTCTCTGCAGTCTATGGCTCTTAGCTGTGTGTTCCGAGCACCACTTCCTCGTACTAAATCAGTCCTCCGATTTGCTCTGCAATATTCCCAATCTTCCCAGTCTTCAGTTACCTCTCCTGACTAGAGCTGGCAGCACGGTGCTCCTGCCCCAGGTCTTGGTGGTGGCCTCCCTCTGGACATGTGAGTGGCTTTACCCAAGGGAGGGGATAGCTCACGGACAGTCCCATCACCCCTTCCAGGTGGACACTCATCACGTGGTCATTCAAGCTAAGCTGACAAGTTCCATCATCACCTTGAATTCTTTGGGCAGAAAATGTAAACATCAGTCCCCAGGCTTTTCATGAGGAGAGAACACATGTAGACTATGTTTATGAACATCAAAACCTCGCTAATTTTTCCTCTTGTTTTTCTTTCAGACACAAGTGGAGATATTCAAATAACACAACGCCTAACATCCATTACCAAGAAAAAAGGAAATACGGCATCTCTTGAATGCCAGATAAAAACAGATATGTTAAAGAAGAGCGCATACATCCACCGGTACCGACAGAAGCCAGAGCAGCCTCTAAACCGAATTCTGTATATTTCCTCCAATGAAAATGTTGTTCACGAACAAGGGATTAGTGAGGAAAGATACGAAGCAAGGAAATGGCCAAGTGATTCACTGGTGAGCCTCAGGATACACCGAGCAGCCGAGGAGGATGCAGCGCTGTACTACTGCACCTGCTGGGATACACGGTGTGCAAGGGTGCCGCTGCCACTGAAAAAACACGCTCCCTCGCCATCACACCTGTGCAAACACACACCCCTCCTCCTTTCTGCCTCCCATAAAGGACTTTTCTCCTGCACGTGTGTCCTGAGCAGTGCCTGAACAAATAGCCCAAGGACCTGATCCGTGAGGCTTCTTGCAGTTAGGTCACATTATCCTCCATCCTTACCTCTGGGGTCTTGGTACGGTTTGTAAGTGCCCCAAATTGTCTCTGCTTCACCATCTATGGGAGCCTCCTGGGAAGGAAGCCATAATCCAGTGCTGAACATGATGTGTTGGCTTGGAAAGAAGAATGAATGAATGAATGAGTGATGGAAGATTCAAGTCCTTTTTAGTGACATGGGACTGGGTTTCTAACTCCTGCTTAGCCACTCACTGACAGGGTGATATAGGAGAGTTACTGAATTGTTTATTTCTGTTTTCCCAATTTTATTTTATTTCATTTATTTTTTAAAAATTTCCATTGGGGTATAGTTGATTTACAGTGTTTTGTTATTTTCAGGTGTACAGCAAGTGAATCAGTTATATATACACACACTCTTTTTTAGATTCTTTTCCCATATAAATCATTATAGAGTATTGAGTAGAGTTCCCTGTGCCATACAGTAGGCTCTTGTTGATTATCTATTTTATACATAGTAGTGTATATATGTCAGTCCCAATCTCCCAATTTATCCCTCCCCCGCACCACACCCCCGCTTATGCTCTGGTAACCATAAGTTTGTTTTCTACATCTGTGACTCTACTTCTGTTTTGTAACTAAGTTCATTCATACCTTTTTTTTAGATTCCACATATAAGCGATATCATATGATATTTGTCTTTCAGTGTCTGACTTACTTCACTCAGTATGACAATCTCTAGGTCCATGTTTTCCCAATTTTAAGTGGGCATGGTGCTCACAACTGCATAGGTGGCTGAAGACTGAATGAGGTTCACATATGAAAGTTTCAGCACGGTATTCAACCAATCACAGTGTCCTGTCCAACTATGACTAAACCACTTCACTGAGCCATCACACCTAAAGTAGGAGCTTAGGACCCTTTAAAAATCACATCTTACACTGTCCTCCAAACCACAGGAAAACATAGCTTTAATGCTGACAGACTAAGAATGGTGAATGGGAAAAATTGCAGGGTGTTTTGCAAACAAGGGAATTTTGTTTCCTTCAACAATTTTCTTCATTCACAGCAAAATGAAGAAATGTCGTATAATAACATCGTAGTATCCTAGGCAATAACTACAGTAATTGTTAGTATTCACCCAACTTTGTAAGCTTTCTACAAACCAATGATCTATATAATATACAACCTTCTGTATAAGGCTGTGGGATCGTTATTCATGTATTACTATCTACAGTAATGATAATATCCTTCTAATTCTCATGAGAGCCATACAAAAAATCTATAACTCACAAAGTGAAAACGAGCCCAAGGATAAGTGTGTTTGAAGCCACACGTAAAGGAAAAGTAGGAGACCATTTCTCCCAAGGTGATGTTAACATCAAATGATTATAACATAAATGATTTTTGGTGAGCTTGTCGGGAGTCTGAAAGCTCCTTTATACCAGGGAGATTATCAAAATCACACTGCGACATCTTACTGTGAAAGACTTTCATTGGCTCTAAACAAACCTTCTTCCCGTATTCTTGCCTCCACAGAACCAGGGCTGCCACTGCGTCCTCTGTCCTGTCCTGATTCACACCCCATTCTTACTAATCACTGGTCATGCCAACCATGTGGATTTTCCTTGTATCTCTGGCTTGGGTTTGTAGGTTGACTTTTCTCCTTTCTTGTCTTTCCATTGTTTTTGTGACCAGCGTCAGCCTTTTGAAGTGCCTCTGGTTGTCCCCCTTGCTTTTGAGATGGAGACACCAACATGAGAATTTCTCAGGATCAACTCTCCTCTCCCTGAAGACTAGACAGAACAGTGCACGTAAGTTGCAAACTGTCTGGGGTTCCCCTGGAGAATGCCATTGTGCACTGATATCAAGAGAAAGAAGGGGAGCCCCTGCAGCGAATCCTTTATGGCTCAGCTGACAGTTACAAGCTGGATGAACCTAATTCCAGCTTGGACACAGATAAGAAAGAGGGTGGAATCATTTACCTGATAATCAATAACGTTGTCAAGTCCGATGAAGCCACCTACTACTGTGCCTGCTGGGATCTCACAGTGTCACAGAGTCAGAAGGGACCTGGAAGAAAACCTTCTCTATTACTAACTCTCAACCCCCGTCACACTCGGGCAACCACGACAGACTCTTCAATCCTCTCAATCATGGGTTCATAGTTGTTGGAACAGGAAGGGCCTTTAGGACAAATTTAGTCCAATGCCCACACTTCAGATGAGGAAGCTGGGCCCCAGAGATGGCAAGCGGCTTTTTGCAAAGCCAGTTAACCACAGAGGTAGGACACACCTGCATTTCAGATTCTCAGTCCAGTGCCTTTTCTTGCCTCTCTTGTGGTTAGCGTTGGACTCCTTTTAGTGCAATTACGTTTCTCTCAAAGGGAGCTGTGACAAGGATGGCTTGCCTTCATAAGTGATGTCCCCAGAACCCAACTGAGTTTGATTTGTAGGTAAATTATGTGACTGCCACACTGTTTAGAAGGGATAAAGGTCAGCAGGGGATGGACTCCCAGCTCTGTCTACCTCCCTGTTGCTTTCCTATGGCTACCCTATTATCCTATTACCAGTCCCCCTTCATTTCTGTAGCTTCCTATCTGTTGTGAAATCCTCGATGATTGGAATAATTTTCCTGGCATACACATCAAACACGGGGATTGCTTTCTTCACAAATACGTTTGTAAATTCTTTGCCACTTACCGAAGGACCTGCCCAACCAAGCCCTTAATTTCCTGCTCTTCGGTCTGAAACCCGGGACCAATCCTAACCGGATGGTCGTGCACTTGGTTCCAAGTTTGGTAGCCCTGATCAGCTTTTTGCGGTTCTTACCAGCCAGACTTGAAAATAACATGAAGAACAGCAATAACAACAAAATCTACACCCTTACAATACAGCTAAATACCTCTCTTCTTGGATTTCTAATAAGTCGCCAGAATAAAATGATTGATTCCAATTCCATTCCTTCACCCCAATCTGCACAATTTGCATTGTCTTCCCCCCAAACTTTCCTATCTCAGTAAACAGCAAAGGTCTGTGTGTCATTTCACACCACGCAAGAATACTTGGTATAAAACAGATGGTGTTTTCTCGACCTTCCACATCTTTGGCTTTCTTTGGTATTTAGAAAAAAGAAATGAGGAAACCTGACAGTTCTTTAGGTATTTCCCGTTGTATGAGATCTGAAAGGAGGAGACAGGAGACCCTGGGAACTGTAGATTCATCTGGTAGAAAGGAAACCACAAACCAGGCCAGAGCCTATGGTGTGCTGTCTGAGAACAGAACTGGCTGTCAAGACAAAGCCCAAAACCAAAACTCTCGGCTCTGAGGCAGAGAACTCCCACTCCTCTGTCTCTCTGACTTGGTGCAAGTGTAGAAACTCTTATTTTCCAGCTGACACGTGCAGGGTAATCAGCAAACCCAGCACAGAAATAACCACATAATCCTAACAATAATTATGAGATTCATAATTTCTGATGATCTGCCAAATTTGGTTGTATTTGGTCAACTATGAAATCATCATCACACCTGAAAAAGCAATGCAAAACTTCAAGGAATCCTTTTGAAACCTGTGCTTTAGTTCACTTGACTTGCTTGTTATTTCTGTAGTCACTCCTCATACTGAAGAAGAATTTAAGTTGCCTTTGTTGGTCACCTTAGAATGTGGTGAGTAAGGGGTGTGTGTGTTTGCATGTGTTACATAAAGCAGGGTTACGAGAAAAATGATTTTGTAGACAACACTAAGATTTTTCCATTCTTTCCAAGAAAATGAATTCTCTGTTCCTGAACTTTTGCATCATCTTTTCTAGATACGTTATCTCATGTGAACTTTACAAAACTCCTGAGAAACAGATATTATCGCCTCCCTTTTAAAGATGAGGAAACCGACACTCTGAGATGTGCCCAAGGACACGTCACCAGGAGCAGAGGATCTAGAATTGGAACCTGATCTTTCTGGTTTTAAATTGTCTTTTTCTTCACTTTCAACCTCCTTAATGGTAATTTGATTTCTCCCATTTGAATTTTTTAGAAGCTCTCCTTAATGGTAATTTGATTTCTCCCATTTGAATCCTTTAGAACTCTCCTTAATGGTAATTTGATTTCTCCCATTTGAATTCTTTAGAAGCTCTGATAAACCTGTTAATATTTATTGCACCTGCCCTTCCATCCATCCCCACTGTCACTGTAATAAACTGGGTCCTCAGATGCCTCTCAGTGGCTCACGGCGACTGTCTCTGAAACATGTCTGCTTCACCAGCATTGCTCCCCTGACCAACCCACCTTTCTGCTCTTACATTACCTTCTGATCATGTCACTAAAACCTTCAGTAAGTCACCACCATTTATTCTTTTCAAAAAATGTTTATTTGTGGACTTCCCTGGTGGTGCAGTGGTTGAGAGTCCGCCTGCCGATGCAGGGGGCACGGGTTCGTGCTCCGGTCCGGGAAGATCCCACATGCCGCGGGGCGGCTGGGCCCGTGAGCCATGGCCGCTGAGCCTGCACGTCCGGAGCCTCTGCTCCGCAACGGGAGAGGCCACAACAGCGAGAGGCCCGCGTACCCCAAAAAAAAAAAAAAAAAAAAAAAAAAGTTTATTTGAAAATACTGGAAAAAAATAAACATTCTCCAACTTTCTCCTTCTGAAACATTAAGTATTAAGTAAAGGTGCCTCTTAATCCTCTTCCAAGCTCCCCTACACAACAGACCCCATTAGTCCCCTACTTCTTTCCAGCTCACATTTCTAGATTCTTCTTCACTTAGATATTTATCTACTTGGAACCCAATTTATATGGTATGAGGTAGAGAGCTATTTTTGCTTTTTCCAACAGGGTAATCAGTAGTCCAAAGCTTGTTTTAAAATAGTCTATTATTTCCCTATTATTAAAAAATACCAGATCACTGGGGCTTCCCTGGTGGCGCAGTGGTTGGGAATCCGCCTGCCAATGCAGTGGACACGGGTTCAGGCCCTGGTCCGGGAAGATCCCACATACCGCGGAGCAACTAAGCCCGTGAGCCACAACTACTGAGCCTGTGCTCTAGAGCCCGCGCGCCACAACTACTGAAACCCACGCGCCTAGAGCCCGTGCTCTGCAACAAGAGAAGCCACCGCAGTGAGAAGCCCGCGCACCGCAACAAAGAGTAGCCCCTGCTCGCCACAATCAGAGAAAAGCCTGTGCGCAGCAACGAAGACCCAACGCAGCCAAAAACAATAAATTAAAAAATATATATACCAGATCACATTTTAATATCACCGTACACTTGGATCACCTTCTGGAGGATTTCTGTGTTATATAAGTTTCACTATTCTTACACCTTTATCCTACTATGTCAGTAGCTTTGTGATAAGTGATAAAATCTACTATGCTAAATGTCTCTTCACCATTGTTTTAAAAAATAGTTTTCAATTATCTCATATTTATTCTTCCCATTAGAATTTAAAATCAACTTATCTAGTCCACCCCGACATCTTACAACAAAGAACAAAAAATAAAATGTTATCATTCTGGTTGGAATTGAGGTCAATTTATATACATGCTTTTAGGAAAGGTTAGCATCTTTATGATCTTGAGTTTTTCCTTTACAAATATGGTATATATCTGTTTATTCAGGTTTTACTTTATGCCCTTTAGTAAAATATTATACTCTTCATCTAGTTTTTGTAATTTAATAAAGGATTTTGTAACTCTTTACTTTTTTGTATTTTACTACCTTCATGGATCCTGAAATATAGACAACTCCTAAAATACCTTATAACTCTCCTTATTTTCTTGGAATAAGGTAAAACAGAGGAAAAACTATCAGAAAGGAATTGAGTGGGCATCATTTATGTCTACAATAGGTGCAAAGGGCATTTGACAGCTCCAAGTAATAATACCTTTGAATTTTCCGTTAAAAATCCCTTTCTAAACGTGATTTTCATCCAGGTCTTCCCCCATTGTGTTGGAGGTTCTGAGCTGCTGTGAATGAGCAGTTGCCCACCGTGGCCTCCTCTTACTTTCATTGTCAGGGCAGAGGCAATGATTGCTCACAGGACTGAGGCCGGAACCAAGTGGATCTGGACTGGGCATGGGGATACTCAGGCCCTACCCTGTCCGGGTCCTGGCAGTTGGACAGCTCATCTGTATTCAGAGGAGCACTCAGCTGCTTCTGGCAATTTCTTTTCCCTCTGATCCATGTTGAGTGACATAACATTACAGGACAGCATCCCAAGATGGCATCTTTCAACTCATCAGAGAACTAGGCTTAGTTTTTAAGGTTTAGTTTAAATAAGGAATCTATTATTTCAAAGAGACAGAATGCTACAAATGTCTTCTTTCATCCCACGAAAAATAATAAGTCATCACAGGACTTATTTTCTCATTTGACACTGCCTTTTTAAAAATCACGTGGCCCAATGGTAAAAGCGGTTTAGGAGAAAAGAAGAACTTTGTTCACATTGCTCAGTATATTTGTGTTGGCATATTTGCATTTTCAGTTACTGAAGCGTTTCCTCCTTTCAGAAATGCATTCCCTAATCACTAATGGAGCAGCCCTGGTGTTTGTGAGAACAAAAGAGACTTTCTTTGATGCAAACTCAGCAATTTCAACACAACCGAACACCTGGAAATAAAAAAAAGCCTTAATCCTCTGAATACTTTTCCTGGTAATTTAGAAAAGCAGTTGGTTGACCAGTTGGTGCTGAACTGTTCTTTTCCTGCTTTTATCCTTTTCATTTTCTATCCGTGCTTTTTAAAGTTTATGACTCGGAGGAAAACAGACATTTGGGTCAATTGATTTGAGGAAAATCTACAAAATATCAGATGCCATGAAACCTACGTTCAGGGACGTTCGAAAGAACCGGAAGATCAAATTGACTCTACAAAGTTTTTTAACTGCTGGTCATGTCATGAAGCTAGGAGAAGGCTGAGATTTTTGTAGGCGCTCTAACCATCGTGATAGCTCAGGTTGGATCAAGATATTTGGAGGAGGAACTAAGCTCATAGTAACTCTCCCTGGTAAGTAACTTTTCTCTATTTTAACTTAATAGTGAAAAATTCATAGTTGCTTTTTAGAAAAAACAAAACAAAACAATTTAGGGTTCCCCCTTATCTGACTGCCACATTCTTGTCCTCAGAATCTGAACAGCAATTTTGCAGCTACTGGTCCCTGTATATGGAAACAAAACTCTCTTGTAAATGGCTTTTCCCTGCTTGTTAGCAGTTCAAATTCTACCTTTAGAAATTCAACTTTTTATCCAAAAAAGAATAGACTCAGGGTAGAAATTAAAGTATTTTGAGGACCATGTCTGTAATCTGTTGCTGTAAGTTATTGGTTCAAAATGCTTTTCTTATAGATGGGCTTTTTTCAAAATAGAGTTTTAAAAACTTTTTATTATTTCTTTGTGGCTTTATTTTTGGCTGGGTTGGGTCTTTGTAGCTGTGCACGGGCTTTCTCTAGTTGCAGCGAGCAGGGGCTGCTCTGCGTTGCGGTGCGCAGGCTACTCATTGTGGTGGCTTCTCTTGTTGCGGAGCATGGGCTCTAGGCACACAAGCTTCAGTAGTTGTGACACGTGGGCTCAGTAACTGTGGCACACGGGCTCAGTAGCTCTGTGGTATGTGGGATCTTCCCGGGCCAGGGATCAAACTCGTGTCCCTTACATTGGCAGGCGGATTCTTAACCACTGTGCCACCAGGGAAACGCTATGGATGGGCTTTTAAATGAGAGACAATATTTACCTCTTCTCTGTAGTTTGAGATAAACACATTGCTCCTTTCTCCCAATAACCTGAAAAAATGACATTATTGGTTTTCATCTCATCCTTAACAACAGTGCAAAAAAATTCTTATAGTAAATGACTATAGAACATCGATAAATCCCACTTCTTGTTACTCTAGCTTCTCAGACATAGGCTGAGATCAGCTGAAATTCATGCAGTTACAACTCTTGTTACATTGCCTGGATGTGGACCAGTTTCATGGGATTTGTGAGCTCAGTGAGCCATCTCAGCTCCAAAGTCCATGAAAAGGGTCTGCATGGTTGTATATTCTCACTTGCTCCATCTCTCAGCAAACATTTATTGAGGACACTTTCTGTGCTGGGTGCTGGAGATAAAAGGGTGAACAAGACACAGATAGGACAGGTCCCAACACTCAAACAGCTTCCAGTCTAGTGGAAAAGTCTTCTAGATTCTGGCTTGATTGGGCCCCATATTCTTTGGCCTGTGGCTGCCAGAGAGGTAGGAGGTCTTGCATTGATGAGATTGTTTCCTTTCTTAATTGATGTAGTACCTATAAAATCCATATACTTTGTTTACTGGAAGATTTTGATGAAATGGCCACAACCATCTCATTAAAGGGAATAATAATATCACCTACTGTTTACTGAGGACCAGACGCCAAGATAAGTAGTTTCAGTGCCTTATCTCCTTCCTCAACAGGAATCCTCTTCTTCCCATTTCATAGATAAGGAAACTGAGGTTTAGAGAAGTTCAGTTACTTGCCTAAAGGCACATGACTAGTTACTGTGGCAAAATTTGGGACCCAATAGCGACTTGTTGATTCCAAAGTGCAGGGTCTGGACCATTATGTGATGTGAAACGTCATGTTTTTATATTCTGAATATTTAATCTTTTGTATTCTGACTTTTAAAAAGGATTTTGTAATTGACTACCTAATTAGTAATAGTTCATAATTTGTATTAATACTCATGTGTGAAAATAATGCTCCTGCTTCTAATCATGGCACTGAAAGGACCTTGCTCCTCCCAGAAAAGATCATGTAAGTCATACTGAATATAAATACTCAAAATATGATTCTTAGAGTGTCTTTATAGAATGGCAATTCATTTTGACACCATTTCACTCAACTTTCCTTCTGTATTGGCATCAAATTTGCTAAAAATATTGAATCTGGTAAAAGAATTATAGCATTTATACTAAATTGCATAACTTAGAGCTGCTTCTCCAGACATGATGGGAGCGAAAAATACCAAATACACACTATTATATTTAAAATAGATAACCAACAAGGACCTACTCTGCTCAATATTCTGTAACAAGCTAAATGCGAAAAGAATTTGAAAAAGAATAGATACATGTATATGTGTAACTGAATCACTTTGCTGTACACCTGAAACTCACACAACATTTTTAATCAATTATACTCCAATATTAAATAAAAATTTTTAAAAATAGTGCAGAAAAGGTGGTACCAAATGCTTGAGAAATACCAAACTGAATAGGATTCTCTGATGAGCAGCGGAGGACTTTATTTCAATGCCCTTGAAACCATAAGGTTATTTTCAGGTAGAAAGGAGCAGTCTTTCAGCAATGAATAGCTTAAGAGGCCATCATTAAAAATTCATACTCTGCCACAACTCATCTTGTCTACTGAACGAGGATTGGATTCTGGAAAGAAGTTACTTTAGAATTAACCCAGATACCTACCTCTCAATACACATATATCACAAAATAGCTATAAAAGGTAATGAATAGACATTTATTAAATAATCAAATACATTATTCCTAGTTCAACTTTGGAAATTAAAGAAACATTAACTGTATACCCTAAGCATGAACTGATTTTATACATGAAAACCCTTTAAGGGAGGATATTTAGAAGATTTAGGCAAAATGGTGAGAAAAGATGGACTCATACTCTCCAGTGTACGTGAGGTGAGATGGGAGCAGATATAACCCAAGATGCCCAATAAGAGCAGGTTCAATTTTTCAATTCTTGACCACGTTCGTACCTAATGTGCTTTTGCTTGAGTTCCACCTTTGTTTATTGTTAGCAGGGCCATTTTAAAAATATATTTATACAAATATTGAAAAAATATGGGCACAATTTTAAAGCAGGCCGAGAGGGAGCTTTCTACAAAGGCTTTTTAGATGGTGGGCTAACACATGGCAAGAGCATCAAAGTGTTTGGTTCTGGAACACAGCTCATTGTTACAGGTAAATATTCTTTAAATTCTGTAGCAAAGTAGGGGAGGGAGGCAAGCAATACAGGCACTGCACACTGCAGTGCTGGTGTTGGCCCAGAATTCTTGGATTTGATCCCTGTTTGGTCACGAATCAGGGTGGGGTCTCTGGAGAGGTCGGTGACTCCATCCAGGTCCTTGGCGTCTGCCTGGTTCCTTCTCTGCCTGACCTAGTACAGAGGACATTGACAAGAGTTAGCCAGTTAGACCAAGTGTGAGTCCCTCAGTGGTGGATACATTAGGTTCATTGGGTCTTGGAAAATTTCAAAGACTCTTAGGTGGTTTTTTCATTTGATTCCAGAAATAACCGATGGAAAAATTGGACAAATATTGTTCAACTTGTCATTTAGTTAGAGAATGATTAGTATCAAGTAGCAAGATATTTAACTTTGCAACCATATTCAAGCATGTCTTAAGGTGGATTTTTTTTTTTCTAAATTCAATCCAGTAAATTTATTCCCTCTTCATTTGCCTTAAAGGTGAAATTTTGCCTGGATGAGGAGGGAACATCTCTCAAGTATGTCCCTACCCTATGAGATCCACGGAAATGAAAGTTTTAAAAAATTTTCACAAAGTTGATAAAGCATTGAAAAAAATGAAAGAATTATATATTTTGATCTCTTTAGTGGTTGTGATCATATGAACAAATGAATTTGTAAATTGAAAAGCAACATTCCGGTCTCCCTTTTTCAACTGAGTCTATTCAATGTAAAGTATAGCAATCAAATTAAATAAAAGTGACCCAGATATAACTCATAAGTGTCCTGAAAAATGATTTTTAGTAGTGTGTAGTGCAGGGAAAAATATGGACTTTGATTCTGTCACTTTCTGTATGGTGATCCTTTAGCAAATAAAATTTGATTCACTGGTTAGTGCTTTAAAAAATTATGCAAATAATGCATGCCCATTGTGGGAAAAAATTGAAAAATACCAAAATAAAGAAAAATTAAAAATTTTTATAGACACATCACTGTTAACAGTTTGATATATTTCTACTCACTTATTCCATCTGTGCAACAACCATCTCAAGTAGATGTTGTGAGGATTAAACAAAATGAAAAATGAAAATTACCTACCACAAATGTTGGGACGTGGTCTATGATAAAAAATCAATTCCTCCCCAGAATTTAAATTGTTACTCATTTACTCATTGGAATTCTTTATGAAATCAGGAGTGCAGCTCAATGTATTAATTACCATCTAGTCTTAGGTCATTTTAGAACAAATGGTCGGTACTTAAAAATTCTCTCAGTTTCTATGACCAATTGTTACCTGTTTCTAAAAGTGGTAAAATGTAATAAGCACTATCTCAAATATTATTAGCCTGAATATAAGGTGCTCTCTCATCTTGCAGTAGAAATATCTGGAAGTAAAAAAAGTGGGTTTTTTTTAATATTTTTTTTTTTGCAACTTGAACATATAAGCTTATAGAGATATAGACAAAAGTCAAATATTCAATTGTAGTATTTAATTTCTTATTTGGATTACACCTGAAAGTTAAAAATTATGTCAATACAAAACCAGTTGAGAAATATTGCTTTTTGGCCACACCTTTCATTAAAAATTTTGTTCAGACCCTAAACAGGCACCTAAAACATCTACCTTAGAGCAACTTACTAAGTCATCTCAGGGTCTGTTTGTTTTGTGATCCCCATACGATGATGCCAGTGGGTATTTCATTCAAAGAAATAATTACCCACTTATAAAATAAAAGGAAAGCATTTGTAAAATTTATTCTGTTATTCTATACATGTGCAAGGTAAGCACAAACTGTAGAGACTTCAATCCCAAATAATTTTTACCAGGTAATATTAATACTCCCAAACCAGCTTTAACTGAGTTCCTTTCAGGTTGATTTCTTGTCCAGGTAGTACTTTTTAATCAGAGCAGAGTATTAGAAGAGTATCTTTTAATATGAATGGTTGCACAGGCACTGATACATAGGCAGCCCCTTGTTTTGTGAGGGATAATTTTGAGAATAAAAGCCTCACCTTATGTTCTGGCACCCTTGGTCTGTTTGAATCCTGCATGTTTTGCTTCTATATCACAGAACTAGGATTAGTAAACATATTTTACCATACCTCATATCATACTGGAGTTAGATCTTACTAATTATGAACCCCTAGGGCAGAAAAAACAAGCAACCTATAATGCACAAACTATTTTTCACTTATTTAAACCGCTTGTTTGCAAAATTTATTTGAGAAGACCTAACAGAGCAAACATATATAGAGGCAGAGCATGAAATAAGAATAGAAGATCAAAGGCACTAAGGGAAGCAGAAGGAAAAAGGCCTCTGATAATCTAGCAAGAAGCACAGGGTAAGATTTTATGCTCAAAGATAGGAGAGTTATGTGTCAGTTATATCTCAGTAAAAAGAAATGAATAAAAAAAGAAAAAGGAAGGTAGGGGAACATGTAGTAGAATACATACCCTTTGTTAACTGATCAAATGAAGCACACCAAATTTTCAAATATGATATGTTTTCCCACCATAAAATTAGAAAAAGACTTCAATGCAGGAGTCTTGAAGGAGGAAAGTGATGTAAAGCATGGACATTGACTTCAATATCCATTCCATAAAATGGAAGAAATGATCTTTAAGCCAACCCAGTTTATACTCCCAGTGCATCGATGATACGGCACCATAACATGGTGACCCTCAGCAGATAACGTCAGGCAAGTTTTCGTGATCCAAGGTGACAATAATAGGATTTGAGGACCAGGCATCCTGCCATTTCTCTAGTCATCCTGCCTTGAAGGTCCACTGCCAGGAGTTGCAAGCTGAACTCTGAGCATGAGCTGGAGAGAAGTCAGATTGAGGCTGAAATTTCTGGTAAAACTTCGAATGCCAATAGATTATGCTGTTGATTGGGGAAAAGCCATTTGTTTTGGACAACGTGAGTTAAGTAGTCCCATATACTGATTACATATATTTAACCAATGTTCCCTTTGATTTTCTTAACCATAGATATGCAGGGGATAAGACAAGATATATTGCCTATTAATTGGGTGTGTAAAAGACACATTTCCTATGATGAAGGCTTTGAAACTTCCAGATATATCAGAGCACAGCAAACCAGGGAATCAGTCTTCCTGCTTGATTGCCACAGATCCAATTGCAACCCCCAGATACTGAATTTCTAGTGGTGAGGGCATGATTTGGTCCCATGAGATTAAAATGTCATATTGGACCACACAATCATCACAAATTGCTAATAAAATGATAATGATAATAATAATTATAATCTCATTTCTGTAGCATTTTTAATCAAATTGCTCTTCAGATCTTGTTTTATTTTGGTCTCACTTCAGCACTGGTAGGGATGATGAACTGATTTACATTAATATCATTGTTTTCAAATAAATAAAGGCTTTAGTTTACCTGATTAGCTCAGACACAGAACTTGTTAAGAGCAAAAAGAACCAGGAACCGAGCCCTGGTCTCTTGAATAGCAGGCTGTTATAGTTCCACTAGGATTTGAAGAAATCAGAGAAGCTAAATTAGTCTAAAGTTTTTGATATGGGTTGAATCACTGTGGAATTAATACATAAAAATTTTCGGCGATGGGACAAAACTTGTGGTCACAGGTAGGTATCAGAGGAATGCAATTTTTTTCAAGTTTTTGGAGGGAGGGAAGAAGAAGTTAGAGTAATACTTAAGAATCTTTAGAAAAAACAGGGCTGTGATGGTATTTAAATGTAGAAACCTTAGAAGTGGTTTTAAACAAATCTGTATAGCAAAGGACAGCACAGATAACACTGTGCACATACTGTGATAGGAATTAGCTTTGTGTCCATGTGGACTTATACAAAGTGCTCATACGTATGTAATTATTATGAAAATGTTTGACCCAAGGCTGAAGTTTGCCATTACAGGTAAGTTTTGTGAGTTGACGTATTACTTTTCTGATGGTGAAAGGGTGTTGTCAAGGAGCCTGGGCTTTGGCATCAGGCTGAGCTGGAGCTCCAGGTCCATCACTTACTGCTTATGTGAACTTGGAGATGATTCTCTGGCCTCAGTTTCCTAATCTGAGATTACAGATAAATGGGATAACAGTATGTATCGAGCAGGGGTTGTGCTGGAATTGAATGAGACAGTGTGAACAAATGGGATAACAGTATGTATCGAGCAAGGGTTGTGCTGGAATTGAATGAGACAGTGTGAATAAAGTACTTTGCACATTGGCTAACTCATCATAGGTGCTGGATAGGTGTATCTACAACTTATTCCAGGAGAACTGTGTCCAGTATAGAGTTATTTGCAGCCTATAATATTAACAGAACAGATATTCTCCAGTGAATACAGTTGCACTTCTAACTGCTCAAATGAAAAGTTATTTTACTGTCCACTCACACAAAAAGATTGAAGTTAGACATACTTTTTTCTCTTTAGCAGAATTTTTCCTCACTTAGCAAGAAAAATGAGATTAAAATGTGTCTGTTTTTCATTTCTGTTGTTGTTCTATGTTTGTAAACATAGATTATGAACACTTTAGGCACATAGAACAAGAAAATAAATCTTAATCCTTTATCTCAATTGCTATTATCTCAACACCAATATTTATTGCCTCTAAAATTTATAGCCAATAAGTTTGAGTTTCATACTCATGTTTATAAGGAAAAAAATTAAATTCATACAGAAAATGATCGATATGTAAAATCAATTAAATGTAGTTAGAAATGTCATAAATTTGAAATTCTTATTTAAATATAAATTGGCTGTAACTAGTTATTTGATTAAAAATGTGACAAGACAAAATAGAACGTGTAAATCAAGATCAACAAAGTACATATACAGTTGGAGAAATTTTTAGTGTCATTATTATAATCAATCAAATATTATTTGCGCTAAAATTGAGATGTATAAAATTAAAATAAGCACACTGTGAACTAACTATATTTACAGTATGAGTAAAAAATCAACATTGTTTGCTTACTGATTTATGATAAAAATCAGGAACTTGGCTACAAAGGCAGAAATTCTCAAGAATATTTTTCCTTTTCTGCTCAATGGAGAAATCCAGTTCTTTTAAGAAATTGCCCATTGAATTATTAAACTAAATCCAAACTAGTCAAAAGACAATATCAGTAAAGCATTAGTGTTTCAGTTGAAGATCAAATTGGAAAGAGTTCTAACATTTATAATTTCAGTTGTTATATTAACAATAAATGTATAATCAAGAACATTCCAGCATTCAAGTGACATCCTTTGCAAACTGTGATGGTTTTGTACATATCTTGACGTTATGTCTGCAAGAAAACTCGGGAAACATAACTTTTAACATTACACTAATTATATATACTCTTTATTCAGCAGACGTAAACACAGAAATATTTGAGCTTGAAAACAGTTCAGCAGCCCAACAGGGTAGACTCAAATTTGGGGGGAGACAATAAAAGTCAAAATATGGTGCCTTTTTAGTCATGCTTCAACTTCAAATGAAATTCCAAAATAAAATGCGTTCTAGATGAACATTTTCTAAAGTGGAACAAAATTCTGTAAGTGCATTACTTGGTAAGGTAAATATAAAAGCATTTCTAAAAATAATATTTTTTAACAGAAATATTGGAAGTATTGCTGTTTTACTTCTAAACTCAAGGCAGTGTTTTGGAGGTGCAACTTTAATATTGCCCTCCTCAAAAATTTGGAGTGGTTCAGATGTGACATTGAGAAGTTGTACAAAATTAGAAATCAACAAGGAGAACTTCTTCACTTCAGAACTGAGCATGGGACCCACATTTGAAGCTCAAAATTCAACTTGATAGATTGTCAGATACAGATGGAGGTAGAGTCCCATTAATACAAGCAACTGTATATTGTTTTTAAAATAACCTCCTCCTGACATTTATTTATTTAGGAATTAAGATAAATATGGTGCATTCCAGAATCAGTTAAATGAAGAATGAGGTTCCACAGAGATGCAGAACATGAGAATGTATTAACCAGCCAAAGAGAGCGTGTTAACAAAACACAGGATAGGAAAGGGAAATAGCTTAGAAGTGACTAAAGATTCTTACCTGTCGAGAGACCATCAAAGTTACATGGTCTTCTCCCCCAACCCTACCACCCACTCTCATCCCCCTTAAAACAGGCTCCACTATGATAGAACAAAAGAGATTTAAGAAGATAAATTTGTTCTTGAATGTTCCAAGCATTGATATGGGGCAGTTTTAAGTCATATTCCAACTTAGCAAGTGGAGAAGGAACCAAAGCCAAGGTGCGAGCCAGCCTCTGTTTCTGAACAGCTGTGACTTTGGGCAGGTTATATAACCTCTTGAACATCTCTTCCCATTGAAAATAAGAGCAATAATAAGTACCTAGACATCTACTGTGGATGAAAGGCCATGATGAGAACTAATTCAATGGAAGCTTTTCTGCCTTTTACTATAAGCTAGGTTGTTCCAAACCACACAATATTTATGTTTCTCTAATAATTCTTTTCAATTCTATTCCATTATCCCCTACAGATAGAAGCCTTGATGTAGACATGTCTCCCAAGCCCACTATATTTCTTCCTTCGATTGATGAAATAAACCTCCATGAGGCTGGAACACATCTTTGCCTTCTCGAGAAGTTTTTCCCTGATGTCATTAAGGTCTATTGGAAAGAAAAGAATGGCAACAGAGTTCTGGAATCCCAGCAGGGAAATATCATCAAGACTAATGATACATACATGAAATTCAGCTGGCTGACCGTGACTAAAAGGTCAATGGATAATGAACTCGTATGTATCGTCAAACACCAGAATAATAAAAGAGGAATTGATCAAGAGATTCTTTTCCCTTCAATTGAGAATAATAAAAGAGGAATTGATCAAGAGATTCTTTTCCCTTCAACTGAGAATAATAAAAGAGGAATTGATCAAGAGATTCTTTTCCCTTCAATTAACAAAGGTATGTGATTATAAAGAAACATAACCTCCCATAATTCTTTTTTCAAAGAAAATACCCCACATTGACGATCAAGCATTAATGAAAAACAAATATAAATTGTTAAATGTTGTCACATTTAATGGTAGCATAAATGTCCTGCTATTTCCCCACAAAATTAAAATGTATTGGCTTTGAAGCATAAAAAAGAAAAAAATTTACTGAAGCTTTTTCAGCTCAGTTTTATCATCTGAAATATAAAGGTCACAATGATGTATTTTAGGGTTGCTGTATAGATTAAATGAAACAACGCATGTCGAAGTACCTATCAATTTAGCACACAATAAATGCACAAAGAGAGATTCCATTTTTGATGACCTTACTTGATCAGGAAATAAGAACAATCACACATCTTTCAAGAAGGTTCCACTCAGCAAGCAGAGTTCCTCTCACTTCACTCTTACTTTACTCAAAGTATAACCCAGAAATAATGAGTTATTAAATGACAAAATGGTGTTCGTATGAGGAAGCCAGATCATGGCTCAACAAAATGTAGAATAATTACTGCTGCATGTTTATTATGGTCTTAGGTTTCTGAGGTTTGTGTTTTACCTACCACTTAAGCTAAAATTTTGTAATTGAAGATTGGGTGAGCCTAAAGTGTACAGACTTACTCCCATTTTACATAATGAATGTATTTCTTGCCATTGGTAAACGCCTCTCAAGAAACTTTTCTTGCGGCCCTAGCACGTGCCGGGCCTGGAGGGATGTGTGGATGAACACTCTCGGGTGAATTACTGTCCCAGGAGGATGCAGTACAGTAAAGAGAATATACACTTTTCCTAATCACTCAGGGTCTCTCATGATTCAGGCATGATGTCCCAAAGGAGACCCTTCGATGCAGATGTTGTGCATATCCACACAGTGTGGGCAGAGGGCTGGCTGTACCTTGGCCCTGGCAGTGGTCCTTTAACTCACTGGACTCGGGACTTAATGACCTGAGTGTTCACCTAACAGACCAAAGGACCCAGAGTGCCCATCAGAAGAAACCATTTTGTTATCACTTCTTTTATCTGTGGTTAGGAAAACTTTTTAAGCAGTGGCAACCAAGCATAAAACAAAACTGTGCAGAGATTTTGGTGTGTAGCAGTCTGAATTTCTGAAGCAAGTCTTTATCTTCTCAGATCATGAGTTCATCCAATGATCAAATTACATCCGAGCACTTGCCTTGGCTTTGTCCTGGGGCTGCGATGAAGAGCAAATAAAATAACGTCAGTGAAAATGCTTGCTTTCCAAACCATAACACTGATGTATTTATTCATGCATTCATCATATTTATTGATATGCTTTTCTCAAACTAACTAGAGTAAGATTACAAAAACAACCCTAATTTTCTATTTCTACAGCTAAGAAACAGAGGGGAAGCAAATACGCAAAGTGTAAGTTTAACATAACCTTGGGCTTAAAGGTCTTATTAGGTTTTGATTTTGCTAGTGATCAGGGAAAAACAAAATGATAAGTTCCATGGTGATGACGATCATAAAGGAGAGAAGTTCCAGTTCATAATGTGTTTTACTTGGCACTTCATTTCTGAAATAAATGTCTTCCATGGGCTTCTCAGTGCAACATAGCAAATGAGGGCATTTCTGTCAATGTCATTCTACACTAAATTCCTAATGCTGTTTCATAGAAGTTTTTGTTGGTTGTTGTTTTTGTTGTCTTAATGAAAGATAAAAAATAACATGGAAGCACAAATCAGTGAAGTGATCCTGAAGGCTCATAAAAGTAATCTGGTCCAAGTTCTTGATTGAGAAAGAGAACTTAGGATATTCACACAAATTTTATGGTGAAAACTTTTTATGCTATTGTTTTTACCTCAATCAATGCATGGTGATAAGTGATTTTTATTTATCTTATAATAAATAAATTCGCTGAAAGGAAAAGAAAGAGGTTTTTAAGACATATTAAAGTCAGTTCTTAAGTATATTTTAACATCTAACATGAGTGTACTAACATTTAACTTCTTGGGATTTACCCCAAAGTCTACACAGGTTTACCCTCTACCTGAAAGTAGATTGTTCCTATGAAACCTTTCCTAAGATGAAAGGCATAAAGCGAAGAAGCAATCATCTTAAGACAGATCTTGCTAACAGATGCGCAAAGTAAATGGAGATAAGGCACAGATGCTCACAGATACAGTTCAGAGCTACGGCAGCTTGATGCTGAAATGCTGAGCGTAGTCCCTTGGCGATGCTGTTCTTGTTGCTGGAGCGCCCGCTGCCTCTATCATGGCTGGCTGCAAAACAAACACTAAATGCTATTTTTGCTTTTAACCTTTTCTCGTAAAAGTGAAAATCCTCTTCAGATTTCTTTCTGTTAGCAAAAATAGGTACTAATGTAGGTCTTCCGTAAAAGCAAAGTGGTGTAAACTTTTGAAAAATAGGGGATACTTGTACCTTGAAGCCATTTTTTAGAGCAAACCAACTAAAGATCTCTCTGAACCATATCATAAACTAGAACCATATCATATGTACAAAAACACACCTAGGAGAAAAAGGATAAACCAAACAACCTCTGTGTCTCTGATTTCCTCCATCCAACAGTCTACTATTTTTTTTAAGAAATTTTGTTTTTGTATGAATGTAGGAGAAAAAGGATAAACCAAACAACCTCAGTGTCTCTGATTTCCTCCATCCAACAGTCTATTATTTTTTTAAAGAAATTTTGTTTTTGTATGAATGTTTGCCTTTTTTTTTTCCATTGTAGATAAATACAACTTTCACCTCGGGTTTTCATATTAACTAGAAATATGATTTGGTCTATCTCTCTATCCTGGAAAGAATTGAACTGAAATGCTGAGCTCCCGTAATAAATATTTCATTTGTTAAGAATAATTAAGATCTCTGGAAAAGAAGATGTTTTCAGTGTCCACCATGGTGGGATTATGTTGTCTCTCTATAGATTAATTTATCTGTATTTCTATGGATTATTTTTTACAAAGTACTTCCCACCTACTCTATCTCATTTAATCCCCCATGACCATCCTTTGAATGCACTCTGTCATCACTGATATGACTTATCCTCTAATCTTTATTCCTCTTTTGTACCGTGCAATACCCCCAAATACAACTCACTCCAGTGTCACTGGGGAGTTAAAGGAGATAATGCATATGAAGCATTTAAGCAAGTACCTGGCACAGTAATAATCACTCACTAGCTATTAGCCTCATTTATATTGTTATCCTGACGTCCACAAACTCCACAACTGCAGAGAATCACACACATGAGTTGGGGATACTGGGGGTATGTGTGATCTGGAAAGGTTTGACTGCTTTTTTTTTTTTTTGATGGGAAATTTACCTAAGCCAGACTCCTTCAAACATGGATTCTGCTGTAGATTCTGGGATTGGATGCATCCATCTTGGGAGCATCCCTTCATGTCAGCAGTGGGCGCTGAAGATGTAGAGCAGCTGCTTTTTCTGTCGATTTGTCTTTTGACAGTATTTCCTGATCACTTCGGGGTGTAGGAGATGCGAACACAGAAGGAAACCAAGATGGTCTTGGATATTACCCTCCAGTTGTAATAAAGAAAAACAAAAACGTACCCTTCAGAAACTTGAACATCCTCAGATACAGAAAACAGTATATGCACTAGATCTACTGAATTACATTGAACCAGGCCATCTACTCCCGGATTGTAGGCATCTTATTTTTAAGGATTCTCTCCTCTCTCAGCAGATTCTATCAGTCTGTCTATCCAGAGACACACACAGAGATGCACACTGTCAAATAATGGATATAAACAATTCACTAATACTTGCTCTTATTTCTTGCAGAGGTCACTACACATGCCTGCGTGAAAAAAGGAAGTGGTAAGTTTTTGTCTAGGTTTTCCTTTATGTCATGCTGCAGCACATTTTTTTCCTCTGGATAAATTTAACTTTTGAACTTCCTTGGTTTAAGGTAGAAAAACCAGAATGTCTGGATGCTGCAGAAATAGACTGAGTGACAGTTTAAGTAAATCTATCATCATTTCCTAGGAGTCACCTTAACACAGTAAATGCTGGTTTTGGTGTGACGTGACTCTAAATTAGGGGGTGCAGTGATAGGTTCTGAATTATTTCGACAGTGGATTTCCTCCACTTGTGTGGCTTGTGTTTCTAATGACTAGGGAAATGCGGTATCAAGTTGTTTGTAGATTTTTTTTTTTAAGATTTAGCCCTTGCTAGTACCTAATACATGAACTGACACTAACTGAGAGCTTCGTATACACGAGGTGTTGTGCTGTGTCTTGGCTACATATCCTGTTTACTGCTTATAATACTCCTAGGAGGTGATACAATATTTTCCCCTCACTTTACAGATGAGGGCAGTGAGCTACAATTAATTAAGTCCCTTGTACAAAGCCACACAGCTCTATCTGCGGATTCAACCCAACCCATTTGAATCAATGGTTCATGCGCTTACTCAGTTCTCTGTCCCTCCTCTAAGGTATAAATATAGAGCAAGAATCCCAAGGTCAAAGCCCTGAGACAGAGTGGGCAGGGGTGTAAGAGCGTGGGCTTCCGCTATCAGAGACTGGACTTTAACCCCAGTTCTTTCATTACTAGTTGCATGAATATGGGTAAATTCCTTACATTTTCTGAGCAATACAGTCATCATCCACCAATAGGGAACAATTACACCCTACTCAGTTATTGCAGACATAAGGTCACATATGTGGAATAGGGTATCCATTTAGCTAGCACAGAATCAGTACTAGTTGGTGACCCTTTCTCCCTACATGAAGGTTCTAAGTGAATTTAGAAGCACTGGCTCTGGCCCTGCTGATCCTTCTTTCGTTCCCCCTATCAGGGGGCCTGGAACTCACCTAACACCTGAGCTGACTGAGGGCAGTGAGTTCTGAGCACATCACCTCCTGAGATCCCTTTCCACACCAAGTGCTGGTGATTCTGGAATTCTGACTCTATGAAGATGAAGCGTGGAAGAGGGAAATTTCCCCAGGAACGGACTCAGCCTTGTGGTCCATTCAGTAGCCAAGTCAGGCCCGTCATCACTGTTGTTAATTATTTCTTCACATCATATATGTCTTCGAAAACTTGATAGGAGAGGAAGTGTCATTACCTAATAACATCCTAGCCACCGTGAGAGATGTTAAAGAAAATACAGGTGACTGAGGCATGAGATCCTAAAGTTTCAGAGAATTTGGATTAAAATGTTTATTCCACTTTGTGCAATGTTCTCTTTACTAAGCCCCCAACCACCCCACTGTGAGCACCAGCAGATTTCCCTGATTTGTACCCCTCATACGAATCTCATTGATACTTCTAACTGTGATGCGTTCCCCCATCACTGTGTTTTAGCCTCTCAAAAGAACAAGTGAAACTAACCAAGATGTCTTCTCCTAGATTCCCTGCAGCTGCAGCTCACGAACACCTGTGCCTGCTACACCTACCTCCTTCTCCTCCTCAAGAGCTTGGTCTACTTTTTCATCATCTCCTTCTGTGTGTATAGAAGAACAGCCGTCTGCGGCCACGGGAAGAGCTCGTGACAGAGGGCACCACAAAGGGGTCACCTTTCCTTCATCATCTCTTGTCTCTAAAAGTGTCTGCTGAGGATCTAGCTGGGCTTCCTTTCTGGGTTTGGGTTATTTCAGCTCACATGTGTATTCTTCTGTGTGCCATTATTGTGTAAGGGCTTTTCAAACCACTGGGCAAGCAGACAGTTTGACTCCATAACAGGGAATTCTACCATTACTCAGGGGCAGGGCCCAGGGCTGGCCCAGGGGAGCCTCTCCCACCACTGTCCCCACAACCTCCTCAGGTCCTCCTGCCCCCGAGTCCTCGTGCCTCCTGAGGGCACACAGCGGGCAGCTCCCCTCTCCTCCCTCAGTGCCTCCACCCAAACCACGGCCCCCACCCTCCATGCCACCCACCCTGGGGCCACCAGCTTTGCCACTTGAATCCTGTCCTTTGATTTTCATAAGAGATATGAAAAATAAAAAAACAAATCAAAAGTCCACTTTTGTCTGTGTATTTTAATCTCATGAAATCTAACTAAGGTAAGGAACAGCATGACAACCGAGCTATCAAATCCAGTGCTGGTTGTAATAATGGTCACACCGCATTTCTGAGTCTTTCCCTGAGGTGCTGATCATAGTCCTTTCTTTGGGGCACTGGCTCCAACGGCACCCACCGCCAAACGAAGGTGCCCGGGTTCCTTCACTTTCAAAGGTCACCGGATTCAGACTCATTGGTTTGGGACGTTCCTGTGATGACAGTATAACAGCCAGCGTGACCTGCACTGTGTGTGCTCAGATCTGTACTAGTGTCTCACAGGCACTGACTCCTGATCCTCACATTAACCCCATGAGAACTGCACCGACACCAGAGGGGCACTGGGCGGGGGGTGAAGCACACAGATTCTGACCCCACAGGGCCTGAGTTTGAACCCTGGGTCTTTTTTTTTTTTAATAAATAAGAGAGGCTGTTATAAATATAATTAAAGAATAAGAACAAGAGCAAGAGACTATCAAAATGATCGGACAAAATTTTCAACTAAACTCAATTGAAAAATACAGTAAACTGGAAACTTAATTGTTAAACAAGTCATGCACTGTAGAAAAAATTTATAAGCTAGAATCTAAAAATGAATAAATTACATGCACACACAGATAGATAGATAGATAGATAGATCTCACATATAACATGTAGAAAATATATAAATATGTATATCTATATGATTAGAAAAAAGGAGGAAAGAAAGAAAATATCTGACATACTTACAAATGGACTTCTGGAAGAAAAGAACACGAAGAATGGAGGAAAGACAATATTTAAAGAGATAATGGCTAAGTATTTTCCAGAATTGTTGTATGGCATGAATCCTCAGTTTCAGGAAGTCTAATCAATCTCAAATGGGATAAATAAAAAGCAAGATATACTTAGCCAAGTTGCTGTAAAACTGTAGGACCAAAGACAAAAACATGATTTTAAAAGCAGCCAGAGAAAAGAGAGAAATTGCTTACAAATGGCAAAAATCAGATTAAAACCTGACCTCTCAACAGCAGCAATATAAAACAGAAGATAATTAAACAATAGCTTCAACTTTCTGTGAGAGAACTGCTGTCAACTTAAAATTCATTATCCTCTAAGCCTACCTCTCCAGGACAAAGGAAAATATATTAACTTATAGATTAAGGAATTTAAAAGAAAAATTTAAAAAAAAAAAAAAAAGAAAGAAAAAGTGATCTCAAATGGAGGCACCTGAGATGCAAGAAATTATAAGCCAAAAATATGGCATGAATGTTAATCTAAATAAACAATTACTATATAAAGGAAAATAATATCTCAATTATAATCAAGAGAGAAATGATCTGTTCTAAGGCTTTGCTTTTATATTGATTTAACTTTACATTGTGTTGAGTAAAATTCCCTTATTGAAGCTCTTTAGGGCAACCACTAAAGAGAAAAAGCAAGAGAGGAGAAAAATAGAATGGGGAAAATTAATAATAAAAAAGGTAAGAAAACAGAGAGGAAAGAGAAAACATAAATCACAAAATAACCTCGTAGTAATGAATCCAAATAACTCAGTAAGCATTTCAAAAGTAATAGATTATATAAAAAACAGAATCCAACAATATATTGCTTGTATATGACACAATCAAAATGTAAAGGCATTTGGGTGGAAAAAGATCTACTAGGCAGGGCTTCCCTGGTGGCACAGTGGTTGGGAGTCTGCCTGCCGGTGCAGGGGACGTGGGTTCATGCCCCGGTCCGGGAGGATCCCACGTGCCGTGGAGTGGCTGGGCCTGTGGGCCGTGGCCGCTGGGCCTGCGCGTCCAGAGCCTGTGCTCCGCAGTGGGAGAGGCCACAGCGGTGAGGGGCCCGCGTACCGCAAAAAAAAAAAAAGATCTACTAGGCAAATACTAAGCAAAATCAGCTGGGCAAGTATTATAACAGAAGAAAAGTAAATAAATGACAAAAAAGTTGGAAAGGAAGAACCAAATCTATCACAATTCACTATCCATAGATCATATGACTGTTTACAAGAAATTCCAAAATAAACAATAGGAAATGATTAGAATTAATAAGAACATAACAAAGATGTTGGATATCAAATTGATATATAGAAGTAATTTGCATTTACACATATTTGCAGAAAATAGAAAATGAAATTCAAAAATGTGACATAGTAATTCTTTGTATCTAACTAGCATCTATCTATGTATCTATCTATCATCTCTCTATCTACCTAAGTCTTTCACCTATCTACAAAATCTAGAATTAAGTCTAAATTTAATGTGGAACCTTTTGAAGAAAATTATAAAATTTTAGTGAAAGACATTAAAGAAGAATGAAATAAGTAAAGAAATACCATGTTTTGGGAAGGGCATAGTTAATGTTTTTAAGATGTCAGATCTCTCCAAAATTATCTGCGGATCCTGTACACGTCCAATGAAAACACAAAACGTATTTTGTGGAATTTTACAAGCTGTTTCTAAATTTTATATGGAACAGAAAGGGGCCAAAAGTAGCCAAGAGAGTCCTGGAGAATATAAATAAGGTAAGTGTGGGTGGGGTGGTGAATGGCCCTTCAATGTATCAAGATTTATTATAGAACTACATAATTTAGACAGAGTGGTATGGTACAAGGATAAACAGGGGGAAAAAGGTGAAGAGAACGGAGATCAATTCATATAAAGTCCTACACAAAACAGGGATGGCAATGGAGGAAATCAGTGGGGAAAGGATCAATCATTCACTGAATGCTGCTGAGGTAACTGGTTACCCATAAGGAAAACAAAATGAAATCGCATCCTTGTCTCACACCATGCACAACTTTCTTGTTTGATGCCTCCTGATGCTTCCGAGGGGCTTTCTCCTGTCACAATACTGGGGCAACAGGACAGGGGCTTTCTCTAGTGATTCATGGTGGAAAAGCCCTAAGGAGAGAAACTTCTAAAAGCTACCAATGGGTAGCAAGCTGATTCAGCTCTTCAGCAATTCAGCAGTAGGTTGTCACATAAAGAGCATATACAAATTTAATTCCCTGCTGATTCTAACCAACATTTTGGAATCCTAGTCACTTCTAAGTACATTTCCTTTCCTTTAAGAAAAGGTTAAGTGCTAATGTGGTTGCTGGTTTGCCAAGAGAAATCTGGCAACTCTTACAAGTACAGATGTAGAGTGTAATTAAATTCTTAATGTAGAGCCAGACAATTCATTGCTTTGAAAATAATACTTAACTACAAAGCCATCCTACATTCTTTTACTAATAAGTATTGACTGGAGTTGGAGGAGGAATTTTTTTTCTGACCTGGTTGATGAATTCAAGTTCAAGTGACAGAGCCCTGGGTCTTTATTAGTACATTTCTGTGTGATCTCAGGCAGCGATCTGAACTCAGTGCTGTCATTTCCTCATGAGTGTAATGAAGTTACAGCGCCGTCTCCTGGAGCGTGAGGATTAGATGAGTTAATAATGTTTGGTCCATGCACATCCTCGACAACATTAGCATCTACTGTCAGTAGCTCTACTGTAAAAACAGTAGATTCCACACCACATACACACGCAGACACACCGAGGATCATCTCTAATCTCATTTCCCTGCAGACAGGGTGGGTGTGGATGGATCAGGGACTCGGTTTTAACAATTCCCCAGGAATCCCATTCATCGTCTAAGAGCCCTTGGGGGAGGGTACAGTTATAGCCACAGTTTACAGATTGGAGAGATTAAGTATTCTGCTCCTGGTCACTATTTTGTAAGTAATAGTCAGTTACAGCCAGGGCTCTCTGAACTCAGAGATCATATTTTGTTTCCTAGGATCTTATGGCTTGTCCTTGACTCACTTTCTACTGGGAAAAACAAAAACAGAACAAGCCACAGCAAAATGAAACACGCACTGCTTCTTGACTAAAGACATCCTTCAAGGAGTTGGTGAGAATGTTCTAAAGGACTTGTGGGTGCACCTGTCTTCTCCCCATGTACGTACTCTGGAATCACCATAGCTGTTCCCTTTATTGTCCACATCATGGAAATCCTGCCTTACTCTGTGAGTGTGTCTAGATTTGTAACTGCTCTTTTGGGGGGTGTAATGAATTGGACTGAGATTCTCAGGCAGAGCAGGACACTGGATGGTGCTCTGAGCATCCTGACACCACAGCTCCTCCCCTAGACTCAACGGGCCCTGAGATCCTCAGAATCTCCCTGTGGAAGCCTCTTATATGTCCAGGAGCATTTCTGAGGTGGGAGGAAGGCATACATCGTTTTGGTCCAGTCCTTTTCCACTACAGCGTGGCTGCAATGTGGTATTGGGGGAGGAACCCTGGACCAGAGGTTCTACCTCACATCCCATCGTTAGAGCCTCCACTTCCTGGTCTGTTATAACCAGCTGTGTCATTTCTCCTTGACCATGTCACGTTGCCTAAGTTTACCCATCTTTAGAAGAAAGTGTTCAAATTAAGTCACTTCAGATTTCTATGGCAATGTACAAATTCAATGATTAATAACCCAATGAAGTAATAATAGCAAAGGCTTTCTGGTACTGGTCTAAGTGCCTGTTAACTTATTTAACTCTCACAAGACACGTGCAATTATCGCTGTTCTATAGATGGAGAAACTGAGGCACAGAGGGTTAAGGAGGGTCCCTAGAGTGAAAACAGCTAATAAGAAACAGACCTGGGATTTGAACCCAAGCAGCCTGGCTACTGGAGCTCTGCTCTTACCTTCTACATTAGTTGCTGCTATCATAGAAACAGGTTACATTTACTTTCGGTTAAAACAGGAAAATTTCCTTCCTTGTCCACGTTTCCTCTCCTTGCTCCTAGGCTGTGCGTGCAATTGAAGGGTCAGAAGCCAACCTGCCCCCAAATTTTTCATGCCGGGAAGACTTTTATACACTGACTTGCCAACCACTGATAGAACCTCTGTGACTAAAGTCCATGACACTTGGTTGGATAAAATATATACCACGACAGCAGGCTGCATCTGCAAGTGCGAAATGGAAAAGTTAGGCAAAGATGGATACAATTCCACATTAGAACGCTCATGTGTCAGTTGTTTTTATAGAACTAGAGTACATCATACACTTCTCAAGTATACAAAAGGGAAACTTCAAGGCAGCAATTCTCAAAGTTTTTCCCATTATGAATTCTCTTTACTGTTTTGGAATTCTTTCCCTCATAGACTTCAGTTTTTGAAGGCTTCCTGTCAATCTAGCAGGCCATGATTAAGTAATACAGGATTTCCCATTTTATTTATTCAAAGTCATATATAATTGTCAATTAGAAATTCTGAGTAAAAAGAGATAACTAGAAATACTACACCAAGCTGGTATAATTCAGCCAAAAAGCTAGAAATTCAACATTTCTGTTAGCCATGAAAACTAGTCTGGGTAAGTGCATGGTCTCTGTAATGGTCTCTTAGGCTACTTTTTGTATGTTTGCTTTCGTTTGTTTTCTTTGAATAATAGCAAGTACCTACCACTTAGTGAGCATCAGGAATTCTGCTGGGCAGTTTGCTTGCTTCATGTTTGATGCTCTCACTAAAACACAGATCAGGTATGACACTCATTTCACTGATATACCCCAAGTTAATACGGAGCAGTGCCATAGTTCGCATGGGCCAGGTCTGCATGACTTAAGCCCTACTGCTTTATCCATTATAACAGTTGCTGTCTTCTTGGGAACCCATGGAATGTTAATTATAACTCAAAATAAATGGAAGGAAGAGAGGGAGGGAAGGAGGGAGGGAGGGTGAGAGAGGGAGGGAGGGAGGAAAGAAGAATCACTAAGGCCCAGACTTCATAACAGCCCAGGCATCAGACTTTAAAAAGCCCCCTTCAGTAACTCTGATGTGCAGCCGGGTTGAGGCAGCAAGTGACTGAAACAGTCCCAGTACTGCCAGCTCAGATCTCAGGCAGAAAGGAGTCATCGCAGAGCCCATTACACAAGTGTACAACGTGCTTCACCTGGAAAGTGATCTTACCGTCCACGCATCAATTTCCTAAGGAAACAAAATGTATGTACTGAGATTTATGTGCTCAGATGTCCATCAAATGTAGCACCACTTACAGCAGCCCAAAGTAACCCAAATGCCCAATTCGAAACTACGGAAATAAACTAAAGGACATCATATGACAGACTACTATGCATCTTCCAAAACAATGTACATTATTTAAAGAAATGGAGAATTAGTCAGGAAGTGTTGTTGAAAAACTAATATGCCTAGCAAACTCCAGTAAAATTGTTAGATTATACCACCACATGGTTCCAAATCAATCAAAAAACACTCCAGAAATTGCATTAAGAAACCTTGCTTCAACCACTGTTATCTACGTCCCTACCTCTTACAGGTCACACTTCTGTTTCCTCTGCACACGTCCAGTTTTTATTTAGCAAATGCAAATGAACATACAAAATAAATAAATAAATGAAACATATATGTATATGCGTGTATACATATTCTAATTTCCTGCTTCATACACAAAGGTAGTAAACAATATACATTCTTCTGCACCTCTCTTCTCACTTGTACAACCTAGAGCTCTTTTCATGTCAGTCTCTGGGGACACATGGACAGCTGTGTGATATTTCACTAGTGAATTACAATACTTTACGAAAATCAGTGCCCCCGTGATATGTCATTGGCTTATTTCCACTCTTTTGCTATTACAAAAGATGCTGAAATTATAATAGTGTTTTATGTCATTTTGACCGTGCATATTGGTCATTTTGACAGCTATGGCCAACTTGCCTATTATGGACACAGCACCATCCTGCATCTGTACCACAATGTAGGTGAATGCTACAGTCATTCACCTACAGAGTGCAGTCAAAGGTCAGGATTCTGCTGATCTGACAGGTGAAAAACAGTATCTCATGTATCTCATTGTGCTTTTGTTTTTCTCTTTCTGTGAGTGAGGATAAGCATCTCTTTATATAAAGTCTATTCGTATTTCCTTTCCTGTGCAATATTTGTTCAGTCCTTTGATCACTTTTTTCTATTGGGTGGTAATAGTAACAAGTATGATGCTCACTTATATGTGTGTCTGTGTATTTCTACAGGCACACACAAAACAAAATGTTCACTGCATGGTAGGTGGGTGAAAAAATAAGTGATTGTATATTTTTCTATTTTCTCTGATCCTTTTAAAGTAAAAATCCTTTTTATGCATTAGAATTAAAACCTTGTCTCCTTTAAAATTGGGAAGCTGTTTTTTTGTTTGTTTCTGTGCTTACAATTCACTTCAGCTTCCGTGAAACTAGTTCTTTTGAAAACCAAATAGAGGCTCCCATTTGGAAACAAAACAAGAGCAACCAGATACAAGAAAGATGAAATCTAATTTAGATAGTCTCCTTGGTTGAGACTATCTAAATTAGATATTAGAGCAGATCTCTTTAGCCCAAGTACCTGGCCCTCCTCTTGGAGTTTGGGAGCTATTTCTGCGTCGGGAAAGCATAGAAAGGCAAGATGGAAAAACTGCAAATCTCTGAAAGTTCTGTGTGGCTGATTTCACCGCAGGGCCTCCTGCGGTTTCCAGCTTCTCAGCAACTTCCTTTCCCAACTCGCCCTGGGCTGCCCTGGCCTGGGAGATGCAGAGACGGGAGGGCGGTGGTGGTGAGGGTGACAGCGTGAGTGGCAGGAGGGCGCTGGTGTGGCTGGTTCTCAGGCTTCTTTTGTTCGTGTGCTCTGTCGAATGTGGTTGATTCGTGGAAAATGCTCAAAGTCAAACCGGCCCCTGCTGGTTGGGACTGTGCAAGGGGTAGATGGGGTGTCACAAGGAAATAAGAACAGTTAAACCACAACCAACTTTGCTCACTTTCAAAGAGTCACAGCTAATGGAAAGAAAACATCGTTTTACACAGGCACGTAATTGCTATCAAACATACTCTAGGCTGTGGCTTAGGGTTCCCCATTATTTCTGTATGCAGTTCCTCCAATTAGCTCCTATGTGAGTTGGGAAACTTATGCCCAGAATATTCAGATGCTGCTTCTCTGTCCACGCTCAGGACTCTGTTCTGGAGGAAAGAGCAGACAGGACTCCTTGCAGCACTAAGATAATCCCTGACATTCCACCAACCACCCATGCTCTTCCATGATCTGTGATTTACCGAGGCTGGTACTTCTTGGTTTCATTTTCTGTGTAGACAGGGTGACATAAGACTCGATCCCCTAAACCCAGTCGCATGAACAGATGTGATGTGCTTTTTCCCTCACAAGAACAGAGATATGGAGGCCCTGATCTCACCCATGCAATTGAGTGTCATATACTGAGTCACATAAGTCCCCCGAATGGGACAAAATGACTTCAGAGTCATCCTGAGCAAGGCTTAATAGAAGCACTAACATCAGATAAGAGTGTGATGGGTGAATGAGCCAAGGGCTGCTCAGCAACGTGAGCATGGACAGCAGGTGTCCCATCTCCACCCCACCCAGCAGGGGTCCAAGCCCTGGACTCCATCCGTCCAGTCCCAGAAGGAAGCATGGCTCTATGGCTAAGCTCAATGCTTTAGCTCTCACAGTCTGACCTTACAGCACATTCAAGTCACATCCTTCATTCTTCCTGGTCTCTGCTCTGAGAGCCAACATCTGGGGGGACCTTGCTCATCTAGGAGGACTGGCCACATCCTACTGGTCCAACCCAGTGTGTTGGGGAGAGCTCCTTCTCAGCTTAAAGGCACGCAGGTCACATTAGTGGTCATGGTGTAGATGGGGGTCCACTCCCGAGACAGGATGTTCTCGTTGTGATGACACCACTGAATTCTTGAGGCTTTAGTCCAAAGCCAGACCCTGGAGCTCTCCCTCCCCCTTTCTCCATGGATGAAGCTCCCCCTGGTTAGGCCCCGGCCTCCCAGGGAGCCTCCAGCTGCACTTCGGTCCTGTGGCCCATTCTTAGACCAAGCATGGATGGAGTTGATCGGATCTGCATAAATGGTCAGTTTCCATCCAAACCAACACCATTTCCATCATACACAGTTCAGTATTTCTTGAATGACACAATGAATAATGAAAGAAAACTGATAGACATGCTGCCTTCCCATGAAGCATTGCGTTGAATATTCCTGTTTAACAAAAATAGCTCACAATATAATTGAGCTCATTTTAATTCAAACTAGCTAAACACAAGGGAAAATGATTTCATACAGTGGGTTCAAAGAAGAGTAATCAGACTATTTTAAATCATACTTCTGAGAGAACGATTCAATTTCTGGTGACTTTTTACATGTATTCGCAATCCCTCATGTTCCCCTTTCGTAATTCCAACACTTTAGGCCAAATACATAATGCAAAACAGGAAAAATAAAACCGATCATTTTGATATGTTGGATTTTATTACCTTTTAAAATTGTACAAATAGTGCATGTGCATGAGTTAAAAAAACACAAGGGAAATGTAGGGAGTTAAAAAAGAAAGACAAAAGAAATCCAAGACATGAAACAAAAAAACTCCATTCTGCAAGTCAAAATAAAAAGATATTTTGCATACTAAAAAAGTGTTATTCCAATATATTAAGAAGTCTTTTGATCAGGAACACAGCACAAGACTTTCTGCAACTATTCTTTGACAGATCAGACTCAAGTCTCACTGAATACAGGATGGATCATGACATTATCTTACCAGCCACGGGCAGGTGATTAAATATATGTGGAGATGGTACCATGTCTGTGAGGTATTACAATCAATAAATTCTTTATTAGCCATTCAGTAACGTCAGCAGTGGATGTCACCATTTCAACCTTCAAAAGGGAGACCCCCAGTTTCAGTGCTTTTTTCCCTCTGGTGACGTTCAGTGAAGGTTTTTCACACTTAGAAAAAGAGAGAACACAGAAATATTTGAGATGTAGTGTAAAAAGGCAAAATGCTACATTTTGCTCTATGTATTTACAACAAAGTCTACATACTAAAGATAGGCTGTGTTACAGACACTTGAAAGACCATGCGTGAGGCCACCCAAGAATTTATTTTAAAGCATTTTAGAAAAGGACGTCCTTATTCACATGCTCATATTTTTGTCCTATGTCTGAAGACTGTTGTAGAAAAAGGGGCCGGAGCATGCTGGGTACCACTGATGCAGGGCGGGGCCTCCGTTTGCTGCGACTCTGGCCGCCTCTGGCTGCCTTTTATTTTTTTAAATAAAATTTTTAATTTTATTTCATTATTTTTTTAAGTTGAGATATAATTGACATATAACATTTTATTAGTTTAAGTTACACTACCTAATGATTCTATATTTGTATACATTGTGAAATCATCACAGTAAGTCTATTAACATCCCTCACTATACATAGTTATGGATTATTTTTTTTTCTTGTGATGGGAACTTTTAAAATCTACTCTCTTTTCCCTTCTGTGGTTAAATAATTAAGCAGGGTTGCTGCTTCTATAATTGCCTGTATGTTTATTTGCTCATATTTCTGAGGTTGAAATGTTTCCTTTGATGATTTGAAGGGAATGAACAACGTGCCCTGACCTGGAGGTACATTGGGCCCGACTGCTGTGACTGGACCCCATGTGTCATCTCAGAAGCTCCAGAAACGTCCATCCGGTGCGGGACCAGAGGAGATCCTGGTACCACACGGAACGCCTGAGTCCCGGCTCTGCCCCTGCCAGCTGTGCGACCTTGGACCAGTCACTCACCCTCAGTCTCACCCGCCTCCGCGTAAGTGGAGACAATGACAGTACCAGCCTCCCAGGACTGCTGCCCTCGCCGCCCTCAGAAGTTAGGGTTTGTAATTAAACAAAGTCTGACACGGAGACATTCTGGCTACATAAACAAAAAGGAACTAAGTCGTCCTTATTTAGAAATTTGGGACTCTGAGGTATTTCTCATCCTTCGCAAATTCATACCTAGAAAAGGTTAAGAGATTTTACATGATAAAATGTGCCTGACAAATTCATGTACTTAGTACATGTATAATGTATAATCACACACATAATCTTTGAATTTTACTTTGAATCTACTCAAAGAAAAGGCTCCGTATTTAACCACTTCATTATTACAGTTTCCTTTTCGAAGACTTACTTTGTTAAAAGTCTTACTCATAGTTCTAAAAGTGGTTTTTCACTGTCCTGCTTTTCTTCAGCTTCATTTTCAGATCCTAGATGGTAGGGAAGGGGAAGGAGAAAAAGTACCGCATTCGATTACAGTAACAAATGATTTCTTGAAAATTATAATCTACGAGCATAAAATTTTAAATGAGGGATACATATGTTTAAGCCACAGGAGATTCAAGTTAACAAAACTGTAAAATAGTTTTACTTTATATCTTGTAGGAGGAAAACCTTTCAAATAGGACCTATCGCAAGCACCGATCTGTCAAAATGGATTTCACGTATGTCCTAAAAATATTCATATGGACCAAGAACTATCATGCACTGCTCCTCCTCTTGTGCTTCTTTGCTGAAAAGCTTACCTGTTTTTCTAGTGCAAGTATCTTTGGGTATTAATAATTTAATCTACGTATTTTGAAAAATAGCTGTATTCAGTGAGTGAGAGAGCAGTGAGGGATTCCAATGTACAGGCAAAGCTGATGTCGCCACTGTGCGCTGTTGCCAGCGACCACGGTTACAACCATTCTGGGTCAATGTTGCGTGAGCCTTCTACTATTCTTGAATGTGACCCAGTCATTCCACTCTGGGATGATATCCTTAGGATATCTCCCTGAGGAAATAACATTTTTTTTCCATTATGAAGGCTTTTCCTCTAAAAATGAGAAGAAAAATCTAATGTCTGAGAGTAGAAGAAAAGTTAAGTAATTATTATATTCCATGAAATATCTTCCATCCACTTAAAAACTGTGTTTATACAGTATACAACAACATGGGAAATGCATACGCTATAAAGTAAAAGCAAATATGTAATGAGAAATATAGTGTAAGATCAGATTTGATAAAAATTTTAAAAACTTGATATACTTGTACAAATCAGTAAGACTAGAAATAAATGACCAGGTGACTTATGTACATTTCTGGATATTCCAAAATTTCTACAATAAACTTAAAGTGACTTTATAATTTTTAAAACAGGGTATAAATAACACAGACAGTACGGCCAACAATTATGTAAATTACACAAAAGTAGAAGGAAACAAACTGAACTGCCAATACTAATGCGCTGAATAGTTTGAAGGAGCGTGATCTTTCATTTTTGTTCTTTTCACACATTTTTATAACAATTACGCATTCCTATCATAATCAGGGAAGGGAACTAAAGAGAGCGGTGAGGAGACCGAGGGAACAGGTTAGAATGTTACCTACTCACCTGCAAAAGCAGCCAGCCTCACTGTTGCTTTACTCTTAGCAGATAATACCCTTCAAAAAGGGCACTTCCACCGGAGGGAAAGTGGGGGGAGAGGGATGAATTGGGAGATTGGGATGGACATCTACACTACTACTATATATAAAATAGATAACTAATAAGGACCTGCTGTAGAGCACAGGGAACTCTACTCAATACTCTGTAATGACCTATATGGGAAAAGAATCTAAAAAAAGAGTGGATATATGCATATGCATAACTGATTCACTTTGCTGTACACCTGAAACTAACACAACACTGTAAATCAACTATACCCCAATAAAAAGTTTTTTAAAAGGGCACTTTTTTCTTCGAGAACGTCTGCCTGGATTATAGCCAAGAACAAATCTGGTACAGAAGAATGAATGCCTGAGAATCTTAAGAAAAGTTTTGAGTCCCACACCTCAACCTCATAAATGTCATGTCGTTCAGGTTAAGTTTGTGGTAAAACAAATACATAAAGATATAGTGGTTGGGAGGCTTCACTTCCCAGCTTATTAAACTGCTGGAAATCTTAGAGACACTGGAGCGGTTCAACTGCCATGTCACTTTGAAAGGAGTCTAAGGAAAGTGGTCATACCGAGCCTTCCTGTTTACGGGCTCACTTTCCACCTGTCAGGGTAATGGCACTCAAGCCACAATGAGCTGACGTGGCTTGGAACTATTTGCGAGTCCTAAATAAAGTCAAACTTTAAATTAAAACATAATAATGCACATGCTTTCCGTAATTTAAAAGTGAATGCTAGCAAGGTGTTCTGGCTATTGTCGAATAAGGAGTTCAACAAATCTTCTCCTTGAAAAGCGACTCTAAAACTGGACTATATGAACCAGACAGCAAGTTCAGTGTTGGGGAAATGACCAAAGGCTTACAACTATGTGAGAAGTGCTTGAAAAATTGCAGAATTGCGGGAACAACCATGTTGCTCTTTCCTTTAGCTGCCCCCATTCTTCCCCCACCTCCCATCACCCAGCTCCAGAGTATGGCAGGCCGTGAGGACTGCCGGCAAACTTACATGGTTGAAGGAGCTCATTTAATCTGGGGTGAGAAGTGATGCAATGGTGAAATGACAGCCTTGGTGGTATGTGAGCACAGGGGCCAGAGCCTCTGCTGGTTTGAGGTGATGGTCATGGCTGCAGCACGCATATGTTTGGCTGAAGCTGTGTGCATACACAACGGAAACCCAAGAGAACCCACGCTATAGCCTAAAAACCATGAGGCTGTGAGCATATGCAGAGGAGGTGTGAAAATGTTCAGCAAAAGAAGACTCAAAAAGCTGAAAAAGCTTTTTGAAGAAGACTCAAAAAGACCTGAAATTTGAATATGCTATCCAATACATACAAATATCCATTTGGCTGAGGATGAAAGTCTTAATCAAGGTGACTGACCACAAAGGCTGTCTAATCATTGGCTACCACTAAGCTATGTAGACAGAGGGGTGACCCCTAGGAAGCCAGGCTTAAAAATAAAAGAATTAAAAACAACAACAACTGAAAAGACACAGCCACACACCATAGGGGACATAATTTCACAGACTTAGCCCACACGAGCATGCATGGTGTCAAATTCAAATTTCAATGCCTTACTCAGCCATAAAAAGGAACGAAACTGGCTCATTTGTAGAGACGCGGATGCATCTAGAGACTGTCATACAGAGTGAAGTAAGTCAGAAAGAGAAAAACAAATATCGTATATTAACGCATACATGTGGAACCTAGAAAAATGGTACAGATGAACCGGTTTGCAGGGCAGAAATTGAGACACAGAGGTAGAGAACAAACGTATGGGCACCAAGGGGGGAAAGCGGCTGGGGGTGGTGGTGGTGGTGTGATGAATTTGGGAGATTGGGATTGACATGTATACCCTGATGTGTATAAAATTGATGACTAATAAGGACCTGCTGCTGTACAAAAAAAATAATAAAGTTAAATTTAAAAAAAAAAGAAAAGATGTTTCAAAAACTCCAGAAAACTCATCTAACATACAAAAATGGCCCATAATTTATAAAGGTAAACTAGTATTTAAATGTTAAATTCCATTTTATTTTAATGACTTTTATTTTTTTATTTTTTTAGACCTCAGGCAGTTTATTTTACTAACTAGTTTTTTTTCAAATGTACTAATAAAACTACATTTTGCAGTGTATATATATATATATATACACACACATGTTTAATACAAATAGACTTATAGTGTATATACTCTTCTGCAAGTTGACTTTTTTTACTTAATATATAGTGGACATCTTTTCATATTAGTTTATAAACCTCAGCCTCCTTTTAACAGCCTCATAGGATTTATGAAAAGGATGTACCATAAGTTATTTAAATGTTTTGCCTCTTTTAGGTGTTCCCAGGCTTGGGTTTCATTTTGCTCTGCTTTACTTTATAAACAATACTGCACTGAACATCCTTGCCCACAGATCCTTGTGCGGTGTGGCCACACCCATTTTAGAAGGCACACACACACACAAAAATTTCAATGCCTTCATCTAGATTTGTTTAGCACAGATGATAGTATGCAATGCGCTATTCTTCATTTTAAGTCAGTCTTTCAATGATTCAAGAGGTGACAAATTACCTTTTCTCCAGCATCACAACTGGTTCATTTAAATTGTCTGAGCACAGAACAACCTCAGCCCAATCATCCGACAAAGGACTCTGCTCCCTCATTCTTTCCATTTAATACACAGGCAAACAGGATATGGCTAAACCAACAAGCAAATCTGTAAAACAAACCACCTTTATATCCTTTAAAAGTACATCCACTAAAATGTGCTAATTTTCCAAAGCTCTGTGATTCTAAAATTCAAGCCATCCCTTTACAAGGAAAAATGCTAACATTTAAATTTCTGGTGCCTCCAATTTCTTTCTTTCTCTCTTCATTCATTCCTTCAACAGTTCTAAGTTTACTATGTGCCAGGCACTATATTAGGTGCTAGAGAAAGACAAGAAAAGGCAAGGCAGGCCTCAGACACCCTCTTATTGATAGGGACCAATTAGCACTGTTTAAGGGCAAAAAGCTTATAACTTCTGCTGCTAGAAGACTATTTAATATTTGTCTGCTGACCTCATAAGAAAGCTTTATTTTAAAATAAAATCTTCTTTTCTAGGCACATTAATTCCAATAATAGTTTTCAATCTTAATTCTTTCCTGAATTGAACATTCAGACAATGAAAATATAATACAACAAAGTAAGTCACTTTGAACACTCCTCTGCCCACTACTAATCTGGGCTTTGTCTTATACAATGCAGCCACCCAGTGGAACGCTGACAGGGGTGTTTTTGTTTAGCTTCATAATTCAATGAAATGGTAATGCTTCCAACTGCCACTAGGTGGCGGTAAAAGTCAAAGAAGGAAGCCAATGGCTTGCTGGATGAAAAATGCCTGAGGTATTCCTCCCATTTTTATCCTGCTGTTCTGAATTTCTAATTAAAAAAATACACTGGGGCTGAGAAATTTTATTAGTCTTAGAAAAAAAGTTATACAAAAGCATGAACTGTAATGCAAACTTTTTTTTTGAAAGAATGAGTCCTGTGACATACAAAAATCTCAAGGAAATCATCCTTATAATGAGGTAATGAAAGTTTAATACTTATTCTAGTTTCTGCTGGCTGAGAAATAGCTTTTCTGCTAATTCATATCTTTATTTCATCTAACTCTATGATTTTGTGTTTTATATTGCTTTTAAATCTAACACCAACAGTCCAGAATATCAAGTTACTTCGAGTTTCCCTAATATCCTATGTCCCATTGTTGTGCCTTTGATATTCACGTGGCTCTTTCTGCCTGGGGTCTGTTTTTACTCTAGTGTGTGTGTGTGTGTGTGTGTGTGTGTTTAAAATATTTACGAAATGTAATGTGGGGAATAAAACAACGTAGTCTCTAACCCAAGTTTATATCCCAGTAATAGAAACAGGCCAAGTCACTGCCAAAGACAGTGCAGTCAACCCAGGATGACAGGGTTGTGGGAGAGATCTTACAGAACCGAGACAAAAGACCCTCTACCTAGGACTGCTGGGAGCCAGGGGGGAGGGTGGGAGTGGGGAGAAGCCTTCTGCGCGTGTGAGTGGAAACTAGGACTGCAGAGGGTAATGTCAAGGATAGAACAAGCAAGATGGCTTGAGGGTTTTAGTGTATTTTCAGAAAGCTAAGAACAGCACACAAGGAGCATGAGAAGAGAGCTTGGATCACTGGGTAAGGGTGGACACAGAGGTGCTTTCTGTCAGCCTAAGGATCCAATGACTTCTTTAATCCTTTGCGTCGCCGAAGGCTTTCAAGCAAGGAAATAACGTGATCAATTTTGCATATTCATTAATACTGAGAGGCTGTATATTAGCTATGATCAGGGACTCTAGCCCTGGAGCTGGGGTTCAAATCCTCCACCTTCTTGCTCTTTGTGTGATGCTGGACAAACTACCTCACTTCTCTGTGTCTCAACTTGCTCATTTCTGAAACAGGGATAATGACACTTTTACCTCACAGAGTGGTTATGAAGAACCTTTAGAACAATGCAATTGTTCTATTTAACATGGAATTCTAGTGGCTGGTTGGGAGAAGGCAACTGAGGAGGGGGCTGTTGCAGAAACTGAGATGAGAAATGCTGGGGACTTCCCTGGCGGTCTAGTGGTTAAGACTCCGCGCTTCCAGTGGAGGGGGCGCGAGTTCCAGCCCTGGTCAGGGAGCTAAGATCCTACATGCCGCGCAGCGCGGCCAAAAAAAAACGAAATGAGAAATGCTGAACTGAGGCTACAGATATGATAAGTGTGCAATTTAAATGAAATCAAGGAGGCAGAAACAAAGAGGATCAAAACGGCGTGGTGAACGATGGGCCGGGAGCCACAGGTAAGGTTTCTGACTTGGGCAACTGTGTAGGCAGTGCTGCTACTTTCAGACATGGGGGATTGTGGAGGAAGGTCAGTTAGGGGATGACAGATAACAGAGCATAGAGACCCTCCCCCCGGCCACACATCAGGTCTAAGGCCCTCTACCACGTTTATTTTCACATCTCTGCATCTCATCATGGGTCGCACATCAAGACCACGTCTTAGTTATATTCACAATCTAAATGCCCGGTATGTTAAATGTTTGCTAAGCATATTGAGAAGTAGAGGGGGTAGTGAGGGGGAGAGGGGGACCAAGTTCTGAATGATGGACAGAGACGCAAATGATAATCAAATTTTGTACCTGCTTCGGATTCAGGAGGAGAATAAAACTGACCATCAGAAAGACCACCAGGTATCAGTGCTGCCCTCTCCGAGGCATCCTGAACTATCAGGAGTCCTGGAAGAGAAGAAATTCAGATACTGGGAATGATGTCAGTGTTCTGGTAGCTTAGTGACCAGGTTAATCACAATAAAATGGTGTTACTATTACATTTTTTAAAAAACTCTTAGCAGGAAGGGTACTCTGAAAATCTTTCAACCAAAAACAAAGTGTTATTAAAAAACTATGAACCAGTACAATAAGGACAGGTTTCAACTAGTTAAAAAAAAATCCTTCATGTTACTCATGGGATTCTTTGGCTCTGTATTTATAGCATCTTTCCCTTTGGAAATACCTACTTCCCTATAGAAATCAACAACATCAAAACCAAAGCACAAAGCCAAACAAAAAACCTGGTCACGCTTTACATCTGTGTCTGGTTAGAGAAATGGCAGACGTAAAGCATCAAAGCACTAGCCCATGATGAGAGAGGCCGTCGACAATGAGTTCTTCCGGCTGAAGCTGAGTTAGCACCGAGATAAAGCTAGAGAAAGCACCGGGCCAAACAGCAGGTGCCAGGTATGCATGTAATACATGCTACAGTGAACATAAATGCTGTTTTCAATTTTTTCATTAATTATATGTTCTGCTTTATTAGTTACTTTGAATTTGGTTTAATCACATAGGCATGCAAGCCTCAGTCACATTAACAGTTGGTAATGCTTTCAAGAAAGTTCAGTTTGATGTTTATATACAACTTTTTATTTTTTATTTTTGGCTGTGCCATGCGGCAGGGGGATCTTAGTTCCCCAGCCAGGGATCGAACCTGTGCCCCCTGCAGTGGACACGCAGAGTGCTAGCCACCGGACCACCAGGGAAGTCCTCTATTTACAACTTTTTAAAAAGTGGCTTCCGTTAGCTTTATTTGTTCCCTTTTCACAATACATTTTCATAAAGGAACAGAGGGCACAGAATAGAAGACGGATCTTGGTCTGATTAATGTGTTTTAAAATCTACACTTGAAATTATAATTCTTTTCTTCTAGATTTCTTCTTTGTATATGAGCTTTTGAAAAATAAAACCACTTGCAAGGTTATCTTCCCTTCTGCTGTATCTTGAGGTTACAATCATGCTTAACTTTCTATAAGACACAAGAATTTTTTTTTTCCTATTAGGCAGGGCAAATCCAGCCAGATGACTGACAGAGCATAAAAATAGCATGTCTTGAAACTGCCCGGGTCTCTGCATTGAACTTTGATTATATCACCTCTAAGAGGGCAGGTGGGATGTGCAGGCTTTCACTAAGGCCATCATGCAGAGGAGAATTCCAGCCCCATAGTTCATCCTAAAGTTCAATCAATCATTTGGATTTCCCAGTGAATATTCAGTGATGCTCAAAGCCACACAGGGAGATTATAACAGCTTTGACAGGACTCATGACTACATAACGTCAGCTCTCACCCTGCTCCTCAGAACAGGACTGGAAAGCCTGAGATGGGTGAACATTTCCAGCTGGCTAACTCCCTCCTCTCCATCTCCATCAGCAACCCATAAAACCGTCCCCCTGTAGGCACTCAGCTGTTATTCACACTGTGGCCCATTCAAAGGCACCACCTGTGGGATGGACAGCAATGGGAGGCTCTGGAAAATTGAGGACTTCTATGTAGAATTGCTATCTCGGCACAAAATGCTTCGTGTCCTCCGGCTATTATCGACAGGGAGAAAAGGTCAACCTGTCCGAGGAGAAGGAGCCGTTCGCTGTTGTTGCTGCTGGAATGTCTTTTCCACCAGTGTTCACACTTCCTTCCGGGGAAGCCTGGCCTAAGAGCTGGAGTGAGGAGCCACACCCTGTCCCTGTCTTTTCATCCAACCCTTCCCTCGATGTCTCCTGCAGCCCTGCAGGGTGGAGACATGCGATCTGCCTAACTGCACCCAGAGCTGCATGCAAAGCCAGATCTCTGAACCCTCCTACACTGTTGGTGGGAATGTAAATTGTTCCAGCCGCTATGGAGAACAGTATGGAGTACACTTAAAAAACTAAAAATTAAGCTATCGTATGATCCAGCAATTCCACTCCTGGGAAAACCGTAATTCGAAAAGATACATACACCCCAATGTTCACTGCAGCACTATTTACAATAACCAGGACGTGGAATCAACCTAAATGTCCATGGACAGAGGAATGGATAAGGAAAATGTGGTACATATATACAATGGAATATTACTCAGCCATAAAAAGGAATGAAATAATGCCATTTGCAGCAACATGGATGGACCTAGAGATTATCATACTAAGTGAAGTAAGTCAGACAAAGACCAATATCATGATACCACTTATATGTGGAATCTAAAAGTGATACAAATAAACTTATTTACAAAAGGGACACAGACTCACAGACTTAGAAAACGAACGTATAGTTACCAAAGGGGAAAGGTGGGGGGAGGGATAAATTAGGAGGTTGGAATTAACATAGACACACTACTATATATAAAACAGATAATCAACAAGGACCTACTGTACAGCCCAGGGAACTCTACTCAGTACTCTGTAATAACCTATCTGGAAAAGAATAGATATATGTATATGTATAACTAAATCACTTTGCTGTACAGCTGAAACTCACACAACACTGTAAATCAACTCTATTCCAATATAAATAAAAATTAAAACAAACAAACGAAGACAGACCTCTGCAGCCCCTCCTCCCAGCCTGGCCAGTCTCAGGAGGGGAATTTGGAGAGAAACTTACGGTTTTCTTCTTCTGCCTCTTGAGGTAACACCTTGAAATCCAGGAACCACGTCTCGATCCAGGCAAGGATGAAGGAAATGATGGGCAGCACGTAGCCGAAAGCCCCTTGAGAGAAAAGCTGGAAGAACAGACGTGACCAGGAGAGAGAAACGCAGTTACCATGAGCTCACCCTGGAGAACGCAGCTGTGTCAGTACAGATGGTCATGGCACAGAAAAAGCGGAAAGCCATACCTTTGAGAGGATCACTTTTGCTAGTAAAAAGGCACTGGTCACTGCTGTCGTCAACTGAAAGACACATAATCCAGAAGCGTTCAAATTCGATGTTTTACACTCTGAAGGCACCTTCCTCAAGCAAGAGACCCATCTGAGCCAGGAGCAGGTAATGCCCGAAAGGGTCTGTCTCACCCAGCTCCCTCCCATGTCACTCTATCCCCTAAACCAGACAGGGGCAAAGTGGGCTTCCACGTGGCACACGAGCCCTGACCGGCAGCTTGAGGTTTCCCTTCACCCACACGCTGTGTGTTGGGAAACTCTGTTTTGTCCACTAGAGGGTACAACATGCAAAGATGCTATCGGCATAGGAGAAAGGACCAGTGAAATAGAGGCAAGGCTCCTCCACGGCTAGGGAAGCCCAGAGACAATCCCACAGCACCTGGGGTTTGTCTCTCCATCCTTCAACTAATATTTGTAGCAATATGAAACCTGACCAAAGTGAGTGCCAACGGCAGCCATGACTGGCAAAACGGAGGTTGGAGGTTGGGGAACATCAGGCATCATGCTTAGTGTTGACGAAGTTGCAGAGTTAGTTTTGTCGGCAAAACAAAACATACACACACACAGCAGACACACACACACACACACCAGCCAGACACACACATACACACACACACAACACGGGAGGGGAGGCATCTTACATTCTGATACTAATTAACTTTACAGGCTGACACTAAGTGCTCTTCAGGTACCAGCTGACTCCTTCCAGCTGCCTGGCCCCCTCTCTGTAAATGCTTTTTAAAACGAGAATCAAAAACAATAAAATGGGGCTTCCCTGGTGGCGCAGTGGTTGAGGGTCCGCCTGCCGATGCAGGGGACACGGGTTCATGCCCTGGTCTGGGAAGATCCCACATGCCGCGGAGCGGCTGGGCCCGTGAGCCACGGCCACTGAGCCTGTGCGTCCGGAGCCTGTGCTCCGCAACGGGAGAGGCCACAGCAGTGAGAGGCCCGCGTACCGCAAAAAAAAAAAAAAAAAAAAAAAACCAACAACAATAAAATGGATGTGCTAAATCCGACCTGTCCCTTTGATCATTTCAAAGAAAAGGTTGAAGAAACTCTCTTAAAACTCTCATTGCACGTCAACCACTTTCCTGAAACAAACACTGAGACAGATGGTCTGACAAATACCAGTGCACATCATGGAGACTGGAATAGAACGGCCCAAATTGGGGCTGCTGCAGACGGTGGGTAAGGGATAACCATCACAGCCGTTTGGTATCGGCAACAGCGTACACAGTAAAGGGAGTCAAGTCTGGCAGAAACTGTCAGCCCTCATCCATGAACCGTGAGCTTGGGACTCAACGGATGGTCTGACAGCAGCCCTGGGATTCTGTGGATGCTCAGAAGAGATGGCCCAGGCAGACACGGCCCCTGGGGGACTCCCCGTTAGGACAGCGCACAACCCCGTGCCCAGCTGGACAAGCCCATGCCGGTCCCACACAGACTGAGGTCTCACCTTCCAGAAGCAGGACGGCAGGTTGGTCCTGCCCATGTCTCTCCAGTCTGAGGACTTCAACACCCCCCATATACCTGCCTCGTTAGAGCTCTCAACAAAGTGACTGTTTAGAAGTCCATGGAAACAGGGAAAATAATTCAGGCAGAACTGCTTGTAATTCTTCTCTCAATCAATAAATATTTATTGAGGGTGAAGAGCTTGTGCCAAAGCTCTGGGCTGAAGGCCAGGAAACAGAGGTGAGTTAAAAACTGCCACTGTCTTCAAGAAGCCCGAAGGCAACCATAAAAAGGGAGCTTTCCCCTTTAAGACTGGAGCGAGGGGGATAACACAGCGAGGAAGGCAGTGATCAAAATAAGCTGAGAGCAAGTCGTGAAAAATCACCAAGCAGTTTCAACCTGAGAGGAAACTGTGCAAATCGCTTCGTGACAGAGGGACGGAGCTCATCTCTCATTTGCATAATAAGGTAGAGGGTGGGCTGATGCTTGGACCACAATCACGGGGGGGCCCCTAGATTCCTCACTTGTCTCAGTCTCCATAGCGACAAGGCTAGTTACTCATTACCTTTGGAAAGAAGCCCCGGAGAATGAAACCTACTGAGGTGTGGAGGATGGGGACTCAGGAAAAGCAAGTGGAATTCAACCCAGATGGAATCCACATCTGCCCCCAGCTCAGCCCTCTTGTGAGCAGGCCCCAGCCACCAAAATCGGAGGGGAGGGACCACTCACCAGGCGTACTCACCGCTATGGCCCACCAATGGCGCAGTCTGCACACGGCATATGCAAGTATTAACACTTTAAATCGAAAAACTGCCAAAAGCTGTATTAAAAAGAAAAGACAAGATAAGTTTTAAGGAATATACACAAAGGTAAAGTCATTGGGTTTCAGGAAGAACCCACCAAAGTGTCTTCATTATTCTGATTTAGCTGAAAACTGTCACAGATGGGTACTGGTCTACAGACCAGCGTTTGGGATCCTCTGCTCTAGAATTTATGGAACACTGCCCAAAGAGGGATTCAAATTAACTTCCCATTATCAACAAAAGAATATATAGTTAGATGTTTATTTTTCCTTTCTATTTGAGTCCATATATATATATTCTGAAATCCTTTTAAGGTTGGAGAAAATGCTTTGAAAGTTTCCACTCCAGTACCTTTTCACTCCAAGTACAAATACTGACTTTTTGGAAGATACCAGATTCTTAGTGATGTCCACTGCAAAGCTGTGAGTTACTGGGGTGTTGGGAGAGTTCTGCTATCCCAGGACCTGCCCTCTGATTTTTCAGGGTGGTTCAGGGACTTTTGTGAAACCTTTCATGTGCATTATTATCCCATGTAATCCCCCAGCCCAGCAATCCCGCGAGTCAACTGTCATTAAGATGTATAGAAAAATTGTCCAAGGCCACATAACTCTTAGTGAGGAAGCCATGATTTGAACCCTGGTAGCTTGACTCCAAAGACCAGGCGCTTATCCACTATGCCTTAGCTGTCTCAGTAATTCTACTAAGGAATAAACACGGAATAAAACTTTACTAATTTTACTTGGAAAACATACTTATTCTGAGTAGGGAGAAGTCAGGTGGCTCTGGAGCAATGCCTCAGGGTAGGGGGTCTGCCCAAAGTTCCTCACTAATCACAACTGCTGAAAGGCTGGAGGCTGACAACTTCTTTGCTGACACTGGCTGGGTGACCTCACTGAAGATCCTTTCACGTAAATGAACTTTGCAGTTGTTTTTGTTTTAATTTCCTCCTTTCATTAAAAATGTGTTTTCTAATAATCTGCTAACCATTTAGTTTCTCTATGTATCCTACCCCTATCTCTGCATTCTGGACTTGGCAAAAGTATAAATCTTTATTCCTCTATCTCAAAGTGTCCCAGATCCCAAGGTTTCCTGGAGGCTGTGTCCATTTCCAGGGCCAGGCATGACAGTCTTTCCAAGCTGAGCCAATAGGTCCCACCTATTTGTCCAATATCATTAACTCCCTAAGCAGAGTTCAGACAATCCTTGGAGATCTGGCCAGTGGATTAACTTGGCTTCCCGGTAAGTCCTGGCTCAGACTATGTTAAGATAAATTCAACAGGGGAAATAAAAGGAAAAAGAGAAGTCCATTTTGTTATTCCATGTCAATAGTTTTACAGGAAAAAATTATCAAGAGATTTGGGATCTCACATGCTCTGCCACCAAGTTCAGTGACCTGGGGTAGGTCAAGACACTGAACCATGAGACTCAATTTCTTCATCTGGAAAAGGAGATTAAATTAAATCAGTGGTTTTCCAAATATTCTGTAGCAGCCAAACACTTTTTCAAAACAATCTTATTGGAACCCTAACATACCGTACAGATAAAAATGGAATTACTCAGATTGCAAGAGGGTGATGACATGAACCCTGATCTCTATTTACTGGGAACCCCATCTCTTTCCTCACACATACTTCTGCAGTGAGTGTGGGAAAAAGAAAATAAAACAAGACTTTTTAGAGTAGTATGAAAACCACTAGAAAATATAATCAGTAATACTCTTCATCCAAAACTAATGATGATAATAAACGTGATTGCAGGTGAGTCTCTGAGCTCCTAGGACATACCTATCATTGGGCTTAAGTGTTTTCCAGGTAGTATTTCATTTACTTTTCAGAACGATGATGATCTCATTTCACATATGAGGAAACTCAAGTTTAGACCTAATATATTCAAAGATATACAATGAGTGACAGTGTTGTGAATCAAACCCAGGTTTTTCTGACTTCAAGGGTCTTATCCGTTGTGCACGCAGCTTCTAAACATAGTGAGTAAAGTAGCTAAAATGAATTTAGGGGGGATTCTTTATGAATTTTAATTGCCTATATCGTGTCTAACACCATGTTAGAACCTGACTGACTTACACTATCACCTGTAAAGGGATACCGTGAGATGTATTAAACCCAACCAAAGTCACAGTGTGTCCTGGAAAGATACTGCCTCATCTACAGATAACTGCATCTATATAATTCTACAACTGACTAGTTTTGCCCAAGATTATCAATATATCACTTTTCTCAAAAACTCCTATTATGGAAAAATGAAACAGAATTATTTTTAAAAATATACACAGAAATCTATTTCAAGACAGGAAAGGAATGGCATTTTCATGTGTTATTACGTAAACAGGTGCATTTTCCTTTCAGTGATTAGGGTCTGTCAGTGGCTTCTATCTCAGCCATTCTAAAGAATAAAGGAAAATCAGAATGGCTTCTTCTGCTATGCTCCCGTATTTCTCATTAATCTTTTTTTTCCTTGAGATGACCAGGCAATTTCTTAGAAAGAGAGAGAGACAGAGAGAGCGCACTGGATGGTCCGAGAAAAAGGAAAGATAATGTTTAAAAGAGGAAAAAAGAATGGAATAGAATCTGAGATCTACTGACAGGAAATTTGCCTTTTGGTTAGTTTCATCATGTCCAAAATTAAACCTACAACAGAGAATACTTACAAATATATCAAAATAAGAAGAGTAGTAGTCATACTGCACCACCTCTTTTTCTAACGTGTTCTCAATACCTCCATTCACCTGGGAAGGAGAGGAAGAAGTAAAAATGAGGAGAGTTATGCGTGAAAATAATACAAGAGAACATACAAGTAAGGTTTTGCATACACTTTTCTGCCTTCTCCTAACCCAGAAATGTTAAAATATGGGAGAAAAGAATGCTCATAATTCGAATAGAAAAATGCTGAAGCGCATTTCCCACTTGAATTCTGAATTCATTTGTTCAACAAATATATAATGACGAACAATAACGTTTTTTGTAGTTCATATTTTGGTAAACTGAAATGTTAAATGTGAAAACTAATTTTTTTTCTCTTGTAAGATAAAGTCTTCAATCACACAAACATATATTTTTATTATTTTTTTAACATCTTTACTGGAGTATAATTGCTTTACAATGGTGTGTTAGTTTCTGCTTTATAACAAAGTGAATCAGTTATACATATACATATGTTCCCATATCTCTTCCCTCTTGCGTCTCCCTCCCTCCCACCCTCCCTATCCCACCCCTCTAGGTGGTCACAAAGCACTGAGCTGATCTCCCTGTGCTATGTGGCTGCTTCCCACTAGCTATCTATTTTACATTTGGTAGTGTACATATGTCCACGCCACTCTCTCACTTCGTCCCAGCTTACCCTTCCCCCTCCCCGTGTCCTCAAGTCCATTCTCTACGTCTGTGTCTTCACTCCTGTCCTGCCCCTAGGTTCTTCAGAACCATTTTTTAAAAAATTCCATATATATGCGTTAGCATACGGTATTTGTTTTTTCTCTTTCTGACTTATTTCATTCTGTATGACAGACTCTTGGTCCATCCACCTCATTACAAATAAGTCAATTTCGTTTTTTATGGCTGAGTAATATTCCATTGTATATACAAAACATATTTTTAAAGAAGAAAATTAACATTTATCCAGGGCTCCCCTCACTTTCTGACCACTGCACTATTTTAAGTCTTGGAAGGTCAAGTGGTCCCCTGATCTCTTAGCACATATCCATGACGACAGTTATCATGACACAGGACAGAAGTGTAAAAAAATCTCCTGGTTGCTCCTATTTGCTCCTAGCACTTTAAAATTCTGCACTCTTATCAACTTATATGTATATATATATTTTAACTTGAACAGATAACAAAATAAGGACCAGATTAGACCTATGTGAGAAAGTTATAGATGAAGAAAATTAAAGCTAATACGATAAATTTTCTGTCCTCTCCCAATTCTCCTATTAAGATGAATTTTAAATGATCAAGTTCAAAATTCTGCATATCGAACTATATAGAATACTAATCAAGGAAGGGAATGTATGCGTGGAAGCGAATGCAGCGTTCTAAGCAGACCCTCTATAAGGCGAGGGCCCGTGGATTAGCTGTTAATAGGGAACATGATGTACAACAGTAAATTCAGGGTTCTGATCTGGAGCACAGACATCGCTGGTCCTGGCAAACCAGTGCATCTGGTTTGAGAAGGACAAATTAGAGGGCAATTAACCCAAGACCTGAGTGAAAGAAAAAAGGGGGAAAAAATCAATAAGGAATACCTTTGCAAGGTTTGCTAATTGGTCAAATTAGAATAAAAGTTGCCATAAGGAAAGGATTCTCTTGGCTTAGATACCTTTTCAAGTACAGTTGACCCTTAAGCAACAGGGGTTTGGACTGCACGGGTCCACTTACACATGGATATTTTGCAATAGTAAATACTACAGTACTACATGGTCCATGGTTGGTTGAATCCGTGGTTGTGGAGGAACCTCGGATACGGAGGGCTGGCTACAGATTATACAAAGATTACTGTCCCCCTCCCCCGCATGCTGGGGTCAAGGGTCAACTGTACTTGTTATGAAAATGGGGTATACCATAAACACTATTCTGTACTTTAAATCCCTTAAGGAGGCTTAGACATCTGTGTAATTTGCGCAGGTTGCCTACAGACCTGCCTGACTATAGGTAGACCTTTACAAATGAATAGAATTGAAAACCTGGGAGCAAGGAGAATTAAAAGCCAACCAACCATCTAGTCTCACTGCTATGTCTCTTCAGACTGAGGAAACTTACCAATATCCAACATATTTTTTAAAAAGATTATTCCAAGTAGCCTATGGCAAAGAGGAGTTCTCTACCACATAGAAGTTACCCCTCCTGGCTGAGAGAACAGGAATTAAAGCTGCTGATAGCAGTTCAATAACTAGCCAGTAGAAAAGGGTTCTCTTCGGTATCCATATACTTTAAGAGACCCTGATTTCATGTTGCCTTTAAATATAGAAATCTAAAATCTACATTTCTAGCCCATCTTGTACTCTAAATTATTTCAAAATCTTCGTCATCTCTAGCACAAGATGTCCCAGATTCATCTTTAGTTTCACATGGAACCCCTTCCCAATCAGAGTTCTGCCAAAGCTGGTAACTGTTATTCTAGGCTCCATCCTTAGAAATCTTAGAGTCACCTTTGGATACTGGGGGTGATAAAATCAGCCTATCAACAAATCGTCTGATATTTCTTCCTTTAGTATGTCTCTCAAGTTAGCTGCTCCTTTTCTACTCCTACCGCCTTCCACGGGGCTCCTTCAGCAGTTTCTGAGTTACGTTCTTACGGTCAGTCTGCCCGGAACTTATCCTGATCTGCAAACCACGGCCATTATCTTGATCCATTCACCAAATACCTGTTGAGCACCTAGTGAATGCCAAGTACTGTTCTAAACACAGGAAATACTCCAGTAAACAAAACAATATATCTGCCTTTACGGACCTTCCATGCTAGCAAGTGGAGATAGAGACACATAAGAAAATCAGTGCTACAAAGAGGACAGAAGCAGGACAATGTGATGGAATAATAGTTGACTCCTTTGGGTTGGGTGGTCATGGAAGTCTTCTCTTCGTGGCATTTAAACTGATACCAGCATGCTAAGTTGAAATCTACATCAAGATAAAGGAAATTAACCATTTCATATAGAAGGAACTAGTATCAAAGTCTAAGACAGAAGAGAGCTTGTTCCATTCTGAGAACAGAAGTCTGGCTGATCTGGGTGGGCCAGGAACAGAGGGTGTGGGAAAGGAAGTCTGGGTTGGCTTCTGGGGGGCTTTGCAAGCCAAGTTTCAGCATTTGGACTTTATGCTAAGTGCTCCGGTTAAGTCCATGAAGGGTTTTAAAAAGAAAGTAACATCTGATTTATGTTTTTACTTTTAAGAGTCACTGTGGATTCTATCAGGAGAATGGATTTGGGGAGGGCAAGTGTGGAAGCAGGCAAACTGGTCAGGCACAGACAGGGTGCAGCAATTTGGATGAGTAATAATGTTGGCTTGGACGAGGGTGGCAATGGTAGAAATGGAGAGAAGGGATCACATTGTGAGTATACTTTGCTGGCAGATTTGACAGGACTTACTTTTAGATTGGACAGGGGGCATGAGAAATACAAAACAAACAAGCAAATCAATCAAGGATGATTCTTCACCTCTGGCCTGAGCATCAGGGTACTTTTTTTACTGATAAAGAAGTGGGTGTGTGTATGTGTCGTCGGGGAGCAATGTCAAGTTAAGTGTCCAAATCGACATAGCAGGTAGCTCGTGATGTAATGTGGAATGCGAGTCAGTGACCTCTGGAACATCTCAAAACCGTGTTTTTCAATCTGCTCTAGAACCTATCTCAGCTCACAACTGAGGTAAGTCCAACACTTCCATGTAGCTCTTTAAGAATTTCAATTGTTTAGAACCAGGTTACCTAGGCAATTTCATTTCCTAGAGGCACCTTATTTCTAGCCAGGCATCTGCCCTTGTCCCATCCAAAACACACACACACACACCTGCATAAGCACAACAGTCTTGCCTCAGTGCTTCTGTTCACCTCCATCTCGAAACCCTCTCCCTATTGGTCCCACCATCCAATCCTAGATCACCCTTCTATCCCCAATTCCACCCTTCAGATAATTCTAACCCACTGAACTCTCCCAGTGAGTTTTTGTTATCGTGGGTCATCACAGTTTAGCTATAGAACATAATGACAGTAGGGTAATAAAATCAGAATCAGTAGGATAATAAATACCTGAAACATAAGTGTAACAATAGAGAGAGATTAATAACCAACTTGTTTTTTCTCTTTCTGGGTAGAATTTATTTAGCTAATAGTAAATTACATAATCTATAGTTACATAGAGCTTCATAACTGCCAAGGGGCTGTGGAATATATCTTTTTATTTGCTCCTCACAAGAATTCACAAGGAAGGCAAGACAGGTATTACCTCAGTTAACTGAGAAACCAAGGCTCACAGAACTTACATGGCTTGCCTGAGGCCACAGAGTTGGCCATGACAGCTCTGGGACAAATTAGAAGCATTCTGCCACTTTCTGGTACACCAGTTAGAAAATAAGAAGACAGGCAATAAGCACTGATAAAGGTCTTTCTTGAACCATAATCTCAACCAAAGTGTCAAAAAAAGAAAAAGACAAAGAAATCAGCTGGCCCAAGGTCTTCCAGCAGGAAAATGAACCAAGTTGCTCTTAGGCCGTTCCAGCTCGCCTAGGCCCTGCACACCAGGCTGGTTTGGCGCCAGTCAGCTCCCTGGAGCCAGGAGGAAAAGTGGCTAAGTTGGAAGTCATATATGAAGGCAAAATATTTTGGTTATTGTTATGATTGCATAGAACAGCTGGGTCCCCAAACTCTTTTGAAGGCCTAAGCTCCCTTTATGCTATTTCTTTCCTCTTTTAAAGATCAACAGTAGGAGGCAATATAAGATCATCTGTTACACCTCCTCAGCTAAACTTTAAAGCTCACGTAGCTTTTTGTGGAGCTTGCAACACCTGAATCAGAAGCCTATGTCTTGGCACTCGGTAAACGTATAGTCATGTGAAAATAACAGTGGATCCGAGTGATTAGAGATTTACAGAGACAGACAACAAAAGAAAAAGGGATGGTACAGTGTGTAATGAAAAACCCGGGTCTGGGCTGACAATTCAAAACAAATAGAACTAGAAAGTTAAATGTTTTCTTTTTTTTTAAACAGCCTTGCTAAGAAAGTCATGATATACTGTCTCAAAGATCATATACTCTTTTTACAGATGGGGAAACTGGTAGTCAGTGGAAAAGTGAGGATAGAAACAAATTTCTTAATTGCTAGGTCTGGTGATTTTTCATTTATAAAATGTTGCATATGGATGGAAACAGATTGCTTATGATGAACGAAACAGGGTGCATCCCACTTACTTCACTTCCATTTCAATTTCCTTGAAGCAGTAAGAAAGGAGGGAAGTGAGTAGTGTAATCCCATGACCCACCACGGCCCCATCTCATAGCTTCCCTAACTTAAGTGCACACTCAGTGGTCATATTAGTGGCAAACCAATGAATGCCTCGATTTTGTGCTGTCACTGCAATAATTTTAAGTGTGCTTCCTTAAGACTGCTGCTAAGCTTTCCTGTTAAAAGATGCATTTCTTTTTCATCTCTCATGCTACAGCTGCTGGTTTTGAAAACATATTACTCCTTTAAAATATATCAATTTAAATATAGTCTTTAATGTGTACACATGGAACACATGGCTAAAAGAGACATTTTAAATTACTGTTGTCATATCACTGGCTTTTTTGGTTTGAAACAAAACTAAGGCATACCCACAATGCTAGATTAACAGAAGGAAAAATCTATAAACAGAAACTTAACGGTAGATTTGTGCTGCATATGACCTTGATTCTGGGAAAAATCTATCTTCTTTTGTTTAAATTTTTTTAATTTTCTAATATAAGTATATATCTGCTTTCATGAAGTTTTATTACTCTATTAGAATTTATGATGAAATTAAATGAATCCAATGATGCTAATTATTAAGAGTCTAGAATCTAGAACTAAAATTGCTGCTATGAATCAGAATATTAATCAGAGTTTAGATTAAGACATTGACTCTTTCTATCATGAGGCAAAATTAAAAATCATTTTCCAACAGGAATCTCAGCATCCTTTCATATTTTCTCTATTTTAATAAATTTCTTATAAAGCACCTAGCACCATGCCTAGCAGAGAGTAACCTCTTAATAATAAACACTAGCTAATAACTATTGCTTCCCAGGCCTTAGCAAATGTTTCTTGGAAATAAATAAACTGCTGAAAGTGAAGGAAACAGACAATTTTTGCTTGGGAGGAAGCATTCTGGAAGAGTTCACCTATTTGTTGGTAAGGAACGTAAACAGTCAAAGTCGAGGCTTTGGAGAAAACAGATATATTGGGTTAAATAAAATGGATTATTAAAATGAATTTTACCTGCTTATTTTTATTTTTGTTAAATGTAGCAGCTAGAGAACTTACATGAGGCTTGCATTCATTTCTATTGGATAGTACTGGTCTAGACAATTATTTGGCAATATAACCACATAAATTTGACAAAAGAGAGACAAAACTTCAAATGCCTCTAGGATTTTTTTTGTGGGTGTGGTACGTGGGCCTCTCACTGTTGTGGCCTCTCCTGTTGCGGAGCACAGGCTCTGGACGCGCAGGCTCAGCGGCCATGGCTCACGGGCCCAGCTGCTCCGCGGCATGTGGGATCTTCCCGGACCGGGGCATGAACCCGTGTCCCCTGCATCAGCAGGCGGACTCTCAACCACTGCGCCACCAGGGAAGCCCTAGGACTTTTTTTTTGATAAAATATGAACAAATAATCTTTTGCAAAAAAATAAAAAATAAGGGCATGCAAAATCTTAAATATGGGAACTAGAAAGTAAATGCAACATTTAAAACATATTCCAGAAGCATGTTACATTTTTTAAAGCAGTGATTAGCAGTTTTTTTCTGAAAAGGGCCAGGAAATAAAAAACTTTGCCTTGGTGGCCCAGATGGACTCTGTCAAAACTACTGAACTCAACCACTCAGCACAAAAGCCAGCCACAGACAATATGTAAACAGATGGGCAGGGCTGTGTTCCAATAAAACTTTATTTATAAAACCAGGCCACCTGAATTTAGCTCTCAGACTGCAGTTTGCCAACTCCTGTTATAGAGCAAAACCCCACGAATTCAACTTTCATAACTGCAGACACAGTGAATTTTAAACTAACCAGGTTCTTTTTAAATATTGATAATAACCATAAAAAAACAAGAAAGGTCCAAATCAGCTGGAGAAGACCAATGGTGCCTCATTTGAAAAAAAGATGAAATTCACGAAAATGAGACAGAAATGATGAGAAAAATAAGAAAACTGTTTTGTTTTGTTTTGTTTTTGTCTCTGGAAACAATTTGCATAATGTCATGAAAAAAAAAAAACCACTTACATTTAACTCTATTATCCACAGTAACGTTACAAATAAGAGGTCAAAGGTGACAAACAAACAGAAAGTCCTCCTGACATCAGATATGCCTTTCTTTTCCCTTCCTTCATAGGACTCAATCCTGGCCATGAGTTGCGTGGGGTTGATGGAATGGACGTCGCGCAGGGAAGCGTGCGAGCTCTGACTCCCCATGAGAGCATTCTCCATGTCTTCTGGCACAGGGTTCATCCTGCAGAAGGGTTAAAGGAGCCCCTCTCCAACTTCACCATCCCTAGAGAGAAGAAATCTTTGGGGAATGAAAGAGAAACGCACGTTAAATCAGAGCCCACCTGATACCACAGTGCTACCCCTGCCCCGTGTGACTGCCTGTCTCACTAAGCATCAGGGTTTTTTAACTGAAGACATTTCTGTCTTGATGAAGACATAGAGAGAAAGAGAAATGAGAAGCAAGTCTTGATGTTATCCATCAATACTATCAATACCAAAAAAGCTGTTATGGGAAAGACTGTCAGTAAAGAAGAATGCAAATTTATAGTAAGTAGTATGCGGTAAAAACAGGCAGTTAACAACAGACAGGTGTGCCTGGAACCTGGAGCAAGCCTCTGGGTGACCCAGCCAAGCCAGCTCCCTTGCTGTGCCAGGGAGAAAACCTCTACAGTTCTGTCAGTGTCACTACCCATGGACTAGGAAAACATTTACTGAATAGCTTCCCAGAGAGCATGTAACCAGAACGTGTAAACCCACTCTAAAAAAAAATCTGTTTCCTAAAGAGGAATTGCTTTCCACCACAGGTATCTAATAAACCAAATTTAGTATTTCCATTACCTCTTAATGAATAAGCATGTTTCTGGGCCTCTTCTTGGAAAAGAAGTACGCATACCTCAAAAAGTTTACCATTAGTTTACCATTATAACCCCACTGATAATTGCAACAATCACAGTCCTATATGGAGACGCAGGACTCCCATCCCCGCAAGGCCAGCATGTGCTTCTATAATAAAAGGCTGGCAATCTGAATGATCTGATCTCCTCATGGATGAGGCAAAGTCATCAAATAGAGAGTATGATGGATGGTATTTTTCTTTGCCAAACATTGTAGTTTCCCTTCCTACACCACCTCGCCCTATGGGAGGATTATATGCCCCTGGCTCTACTGAATTCATGTGCCTTTCTTTGGCCAGTGTAATGTGGCCACTGTAATGTGTGTTACCTGCGTCCAGATCTTAAGAACCAGCGCATGGTTCACCCTGCTCTCCTTTCTGCCACAATGACTGACAATGTCCAGTAGAAAGAAGAACATTTTCCAGGTGGGTAAAATACAATTTCAGAACATTGCTGGAATTTCCCTAAAGTAATATGGTCCCATTTGGTCCTATTCACAGTCCAGAACTCTATATCTTCACACTTGACCTTCAGTTCTCTCCCTCCCCACACTCAGGAACAAAAGTCCTTTCCACATTTTCATACAATGTGGTGATTTAATGACATAGCATTTTTGAAAGCAATTTCGTTATGTAGTTTGAACTATGATACTTTAAAATAATCATACTGCTTGATCTAGTAACCCTACTTCTGGAAATCTATAGGAACTTAACTGTAGACCTTCAAGGCAAAAATTGATCTATGTCATTAAAGGCTGGGTCAGTGATTACCTTAGAGCAAGAGGAAAGGAAAAGTGACAAGAGGGTGCAAGCTTGGTCAAGTCCTCTTTCTTGGGCTGAGTAGTGCTAACACGGCTGTACTCACTTTTTGATAATTTACTGTCGTATCAATGATTTAAAGCCGCTAGACTGTACAGAAAAATCAACAAATTCACAATTCAAACTGAGGACTGTTTTTAGGAAGAAAATCATTTGCAAGGTAATTGGATCATCTTCTTAGTCTCACCCATTCCTCCTTTCCCGAGCCCACCCCTCATGAATAAAAAGGACAACAAAGCAAAACACCCACCCCAGAAATCTGAGGCTATTTCCAACTAAAAAACTGACATCATACAATGCTGTACACCTGACTTGGGAAATGAGAATCATTACATTATTTTTCAGACGTGTGTATATATAACTTCTAATTAGCTAGAATGTATAGATACTACTTGCAATAGCTTCAATGATAAAGTTACCCACTGCACAGATTGCTCTCAGCAGCCTGACTCTAATCAGACTGATCTCTGTCTGGGACAGAAGTAAATTTTAAAAGGGAGGGACAGCTTCCTTTTAATGTGTCAAGAGGAAGATACTTCTAAAGCTTCTTTCTACTCTACAATGATAGGATTTCATCCTAACCATGTCCTTCAGAAAGATTCAGTTCAAGTGTCAATTCCTTCAAGAAGACTTTCCTGAAATGCTCCCCACATTCCAATCCCCACGCAAGGCCACGTGCATCTCCTCCAAGTTCCCCTAGGACTGTGGATATGCCACTTATGGTGCCGCTTACCACAGTGTGTCTTAATTATCCACTTACTTGCCCGCCCTCCTGCTAGCTGGAGTGCTCCCTGAAGGCCTTGAATTTGATTTGCACATCCCTGTGTCCCCAGGGACTACCTCAGTACACAGCACACAGCAAGAACAAAACAGATATTGACTGCATAAATCCCGTCTAGCATCTAGCACAGACACTAACGCTGAGCGGGCTCTCAAAAGACTCTGCTGCGCTGAGGAGACCGCACTGTTTGTTTCTGAAGAAAAGCCTGGATATTTTCCCAGATATAATATTGAAAGTATTAAATATCCAGTTCTTGTACTGAGTCCTCTCTGGGGTTGGCTTGAGGAAAGCTATGCCTCTCTAAAGAGGGTATTAAGTTCTGATTAGCTGTACACCAGGAGACTGAATCTACAATGCAGGGTTTATTCCAACTATGGAAGAAGCATGGGGAGGGGGGAAGGTGATAAGGAGTGGGGTGGAGAATTATAAAATAAAGAAAACCATCCCCTTATCTTTTACTGGAATTTGTGTAAGGAGATGAGCATCCTCTTTTGTTATTTTGGTTTTTGAAAAAGAGATTCATATCATAATTGTTTTATCTGGATGGGTAACTATCCTCCTCTATATGGGCTAGCTATTTCTACAATCATGCTGTGCTCACAAACCACCCCCAAACCCAGTGGCTTCAAACAATCTACATTTGTTCTCAAGCTCATGCGTCTGCAGGGTGCCTGCAGTTCAGCTGGTCTAGTCTGGGCCCAGCTGGCAACTCTGCTTCAGGTAGTGGATAGCAGAGCTTGGCTTCAAACTGTGTTGCGTCTAAGTCTGCCTGTTTGTCTTTCCCCTTGGACCAGGACTACGTGGGGAAGTAGTCATGGAGAAACTACATGTTCTCTTCATGGCAAGTGGCAAGAGCACAGGAGACAAGCTGGACCATGTAAACACACTGCAATCTCTGTTCACATTCTAGAGGTCAAATATATCTCAAGGCCAAGCCCAGAGGGCATGGAGCTGAGATGTACATTCCATCCAAAGAGGAGCAGAAGGTAAGTGGACATTTGCTGAGAAATATTCCAATCGACCACAGCTGTCAATGTTCTAAACTAGGAGTCAACATACTATAGCCTGTAAGTCAAATATTGCAGGCTGCTTGTTTCTTAATACGGAGTTTTATTAGAATACTGCCACATGCAGTCCTATGGTTGGTATCGGTTGCTATGGACACTTTCACATGAAGACAGCAGAGGTGAAGAGTCACAACAGAGACTACATGGTTCACAAAGCCTAAAATATTTCCTTTACTACCTGTAGTTTTCTAGAAAGGGAGACTGCTGCTTCCATCAGCTTTTCAAAGGGGAGCCATGTGAGATTTAGAGGTTCTGTGTTATAATTAATTTTTCCAGTGCATGCTCTGATTCTGCAATTAGCAAAAACCTGTAATCCATTCTTATTTTTCCACAGGTGGCTCTCGTGACCCAGCACAGCTCAGGCACAGGTGGTCTTGTTGTCTTACCTGAGGGCCACTTCAGCAGTACTTATAGCCCAAACACACACAGCTCTCTGCCGTATTCTCTTCCCTTAATCCCACACTGCTAGAACTGGAGAAAAATTCTGCCATATCTATACTGGTGGCTTCCTAAATGATGATACCCTGTGCACGTGGGAAAACCCAAAAACCTGAAATCCTTTTGCTTCCAGAAAGAATAGCTTACATCTTTGAGATGTTACTACTGCACTGGTCCCCAGGCTGGTTTAAAATAATCTTAGCAATAATCTTAGCAAAGCTAAGCCAAAACTTCAGCTCCATCTGCTTCAGCACAGAATTGATCCCACCCAGATGGTTAACAGCAGCTGCTATACCGCAGTAGCTACCACTGCTAGCATTTTACAGAAGTCCCACAGTCTCTCCTGGGAGAAGTGGAAAGGGCCTCTGGGCACCTACTGGGGTAGCCAAACCAAGTCTCTCAACCCAGGCACCCAGGCTTCTCCTCTGTATTACTTCCGGCCACAGCAGGACACTGTATGTTCTCCTCCGAGAGAGAGAGAGAATTGAGAATAACAGACACTAAAAATATTTATCATCTTTTCCAAAGGCCAGTGGAGCAGATTTGGCTTACAGACATGTTTTGCTTGGTCTTGTACGGTGTTTCTAAAGATCTTGAACTAATTGCTAACATTTTAAATAATGATCTTTCATCTAAAATTCCAGATGTCTAGCTTCTCTGGAAAAGTTAAAAGACACAGAATAGCCAGGCCTGCATTCCCTTACCATAAGAATAAAGCCAAGAAGATGCTGAACTCTTTAGATGGAGCCTGCACCCTCCACTTGGCCTCAGCCTCGACCTAGCCTGGAGTCATCTGAGTCTGCCACTCTGATCTATTCCCCTGTCGTCTGACAGGCAAAGAGAATCCTACACCTGCAGACTGTGTCTCTTCTTGTTCTTTCAAAGCTTTCTTCAGGGACTTCCCTGGTGGCGCAGTGGTTAAGAATCCGCCTGCCAATGCAGGGGACACAGGTTCGAGCCCTGGTCCAGGAAGATCCCACATGCCGCGGAGCAACTAAGCCCGTGCGCCACAACTGCTGAGCCTGCGCGCTAGAGCCTGCGAGCCACAACTACTGAGCTGGCGAGCCACAACTACTGAGCTGGTGCACCACAACTACTGAAGCCCATGTGCTCTGGGGCCCACGTGCTGCAACTACTGAAGCCCATGCTCCGCAACAAGAGAAGCCACTGAAATGAGAAGCCCACACACTGCAATGAAGCCCCGACTTGCTGCAACCAGAGAAAGCCCGCACTCAGCAATGAAGACCCAGCACACCCAAAAATAAATATATTAAAAAAAAAGCTTTCTTCATCTATGTTGC